GTACTCATTCATGTAAATGCCATCCCCAGAAGCTTGAGTCGGTCGTGGATCACTACTCTCGGCTAGCTCCAGGTCCACCAATGATTGAAGACCATACAAACGGAGAGATAGGTAGTTTGTAATGACATATTCTTTTCTAAGAAAATAATCAAGTCTGAAAAGTGAAGTCAATAGTTCTAGAATACAATTAATAAAAGTTGCAATTCACATGGGGGCATGAATTAATAATTGAATAGATAAATATTAAAACAACACAAACAATAACATAATAGTCATCAAATAAGTAAATCTCGTTTTCCCATTTGAAGTTATCAATTCAGCTACTTTTAATTAAAAGTTAGATATTTAATAAAATTTAATCTGTTTTATATCATTGTTTTCTAATAGCACAATAAGTTTATTCTTAGTTACATAAATAAGTTAAAAAAAAATTAAAAAGTTTAAAAATTTCTCAACCTATTCAAGAATGGATTACTCAAAAAATTCTAATGTTTGGAAGTGGGTTGAACTAAGACTTTTCAGCACTCTCAGATATACCACTCTACATTATTGAACAAGTGTGTATATTAATATTTTATTTTATTACTTTTGTGTGTGTGTGTATGTATATATATATATATATATATATATATATATATATTATAAATTAACTGATTTAAAATATGGTTTCTTCGCTACACAGTGATAACCACGTTTCAAAAACTGAAGCCAAAAACTTCAAATTTAATTATATAATTAAATTAAAAGCATTAGTTCTGTTTTATCTTCAAGTAAATTTTGTAATAACTTATTTTTAAATTTACTGAGTTTTAAATGCACATGTGCGTTTAAAACTTAGTAAATTTATAATATTTATGCTCTGTAAATTTACATGGAGCACTGTTTTGTAAAAATAAAAAATATCAATAAGAACACCAGATCATATATCTTACTGTTCTTTCTTTTTATATATATATATATATATATATATATAGATGAGAGAGATTTAATTGATCTAACCTAATTACTATCAATAATTAAAAAAACAACGCTTACTCTACAATGTTGCAGACTGCATATCAACATAAGATATTATTCTCAATGTTAATTTTATGAGCTTACACATCCATGCTGGGTCAAGGCATGTTGAGAGAGATCGTTTAAAAATTTTCCCACAGTAGGTTGCCAGTTCTATGGTAGACTGGTTGTTATAAAATCCAGTCTGTCTTGCTATTCGACCCATAACTGGAGGGAGAAGAAATGGATTCATACTTTTTCCCAAGGGTATTTGCATGTAAATGAATGTAACAAACTTGAGTGGAATTTGAACTCAGCTCCCTGATTTCTCATTCCATGATGATATCCATTACACCACACTGCACATCCAATAATATGGGACATTAAAAATGATATCCATTACACCACACTGCACATCCAATAATATGGGACATTAAAAATGATATCCATTACACCACACTGCACATCCAATAATATGGGACATTAAAAATGATATCCATTACACCACACTGCACATCCAATAATATGGGACATTAAAATGATATCCATTACACCACACTGCACATCCAATAATATGGGACATTAAAATGATATCCATTACACCACACTGCACATCCAATAATATGGGACATTAAAATGATATCCATTACACCACACTGCATTAAAATGATATCATCCAATAATATGGGACATTAAAATGATATCCATTACACCACACTGCACATCCAATAATATGGGACATTAAAAATGATATCCATTACACCACACTGCACATCCAATAATATGGGACATTAAAAATGATATCCATTACACCACACTGCACATCCAATAATATGGGACATTAAAAATGATATCCATTACACCACACTGCACATCCAATAATATGGGACATTAAAAATGATATCCATTACACCACACTGCACATCCAATAATATGGGACATTAAAAATGATATCCATTACACCACACTGCACATCCAATAATATGGGACATTAAAATGATATCCATTACACCACACTGCACATCCAATAATATGGGACATTAAAAATGATATCCATTACACCACACTGCACATCCAATAATATGGGACATTAAAATGATATCCATTACACCACACTGCACATCCAATAATATGGGACATTAAAAATGATATCCATTTAAAATGATATCCATTACCACACTGCACATCCAATAATATGGGACATTAAAATGATATCCATTACACCACACTGCACATCCAATAATATGGGACATTAAAAATGATATCCATTACACCACACTGCACATCCAATAATATGGGACATTAAAAATGATATCCATTACACCACACTGCACATCCAATAATATGGGACATTAAAATGATATCCATTACACCACACTGCACATCCAATAATATGGGACATATCCAAAACACTGCATCATCAATAATATGGGAAAAAATCCATTACACCACACTGCATCCATTACACATTAAAAATGATATCCATTACACCACACTGCACATCCAATAATATGGGACATTAAAATGATATCCATTACACCACACTGCACATCCAATAATATGGGACATTAAAAATGATATCCATTACACCACACTGCATTAAAAATGATATCATCCAATAATATGGGACATTAAAAATGATATCCATTACACCACACTGCACATCCAATAATATGGGACATTAAAAATGATATCCATTACCACACTGCACATCCAATAATATGGGACATTAAAATGATATCCATTACACATGCACATCCAATAATATGGGACATTAAAAATGATATCCATTACACCACACTGCACATCCAATAATATGGGACATTAAAATGATATCCATTACACCACACTGCACATCCAATAATATGGGACATTAAAAATGATATCCATTACACCACACTGCACATCCAATAATATGGGACATTAAAAATGATATCCATTACACCACACTGCACATCCAATAATATGGGACATTAAAATGATATCCATTACACCACACTGCACATCCAATAATATGGGACATTAAAAATGATATCCATTACACCACACTGCACATCCAATAATATGGGACATTAAAAATGATATCCATTACACCACACTGCACATCCAATAATATGGGACATTAAAAATGATATCCATTACACCACACTGCACATCCAATAATATGGGACATTAAAAAATGATATCCATTACACCACACTGCACATCCAATAATATGGGACATTAAAAATGATATCCATTACACCACACTGCACATCCAATAATATGGGACATTAAAAATGATATCCATTACACCACACTGCACATCCAATAATATGGGACATTAAAAATGATATCCATTACACCACACTGCACATCCAATAATATGGGACATTAAAAATGATATCCAAATGCACATCCAATAATATGGGACATTAAAAATGATATCCATTACACCACACTGCACATCCAATAATATGGGACATTAAAAATGATATCCATTACACCACACTGCACATCCAATAATATGGGACATTAAAAACCAACATTATGGAAAAACTATGTTCTTCATAAATTTTTATATTTCTGCAAACACTGTAAATATATATATATATATATATATATATATATATATATAAAGATTATATTCTTCATAAATTCCTGTACCTTTTGGCAGATCCAACACTAATAATCAAAAACAACATTAAATTTTTATATATATATATATATATATATATATATCCAGGGTTTGAATGATCAGCGCTGAATAGAGTTTGCCCAAAGACAGTCTTCTGTTGAGCACTTTTTTGGCTTTAGGCTTCAGCTCCTGTGTTTGGATCTAGTTTCACTTTATTGAGTGCTTTTTGCTATACTGGCTTTCCAGGTGGGAAACATTTTTTTTTTGTTGTTTTGTTTCTTTGCCATTTTAGACTCTGGCTGGATGATCTATCCTCCCACCAACCATGTGGGTTTGGTTTGCTTGTCAAATTGAACTCCTGACCCCTCCCCAGTAATATATAGGGTATTCATCTTATTACAATTCACTGGTTTCATGATGATTGTGTGAAAGCACATGAAACTAATAGTAATGGCCAGTCATTGTCGATCTGGTTATCTGATGTTTATATATATGTATGTGAAATGGAGTAAGTCTGATAATTATTTTAATGTATTTTCTGTTTATATGTTATTTTTATATGTACAAATATTTAAATAAATGCTCTGTTTATAATAAACAGTATAAATTACATTTACCAGCATGAATGTTCAAAAAATTTCATAGAAAATATGTGCTCTCCAACAGGAATTGAACCTGTATTTTACACAGAACCAACATATAACCTGATGTTCTATATGATATTAAGGCTGGTAAATGTTGTCAATACTGTTTATAATAAACAGAGCATTTACTTAAATATATTGTTTTCTCTTTTTGATCAGAGTAACATTTTTTATGTCAAAATTGTAGTCAGTCTCATTATGGTGGGCAACCAACACATTTCATGTATTGTTTTGTAAAATGTCTCTTTTTAGTTCATATAATCTTTTATTTTCCTTGTCATACGTTTTTCCACTAAATATATACATATATATATATATATATATATATATATATATAGGGTAAAACAGAAATACCTCCCACATAATGGCAAGACATTAGTAGCAGTGGTGCTTTCATCTAGCTAATGTCTTATTTATAGGAGATATTTCTGCCATACCTGTATAATAATTTTTTCAAATTGAAATTTTATTTTCCTTTTATTTTATTCTATTTTTTAATTTTAATAAATAAAAATTTTAGTTTAAAATTCTGTCATCATCATAATATTGTAGGAAAAAAAAGGAATCTTTTTGTCACTCATGTTTGAAGGTAATCATTTTTTTTCCATTAAGATGTCTTTGAAGAATTTTGATTTCCAATTTTTGTTTGATTTTTTCCTGTTTAAATATTTGTTATTATTGTTTTAATTTTGAATTTCTAATAAAAAAAAACCCCAAAAAACTTGTATTCTTTTCTTTTCCAGTATTCACAGCTTCGGAAATGTTACTGTTCAATGCCAAACTGTATTCTTTGTCGATTGTACTATTCTCTGGTTTAATTGCTTTGTATTTAATTTACAGGTAAGTACAAATAATAAAAAAAATTGTTACCTGTTTATTTGCTTGATTCATTTCATTTCCAACCAATAATTTATTCCTACTTTTTGATATTTACAAAAAATAGTTTATTTTCAAAAGTCAGAGCAAATTTTCATCTTAGAAAATCCCTTTTGATTTCAAACTGACTTATTTTCCTTTAATTCCTTGAACCTAGCATCTGAACTTTTTTTCCTTTTTCTCCCTTAATTATTAAAATCAATTTATTGACTCACTTATGTAGATATATCTATAAGCAATTACACAATTGTAGTCACACACACACAAAATTAATTAAAATAATAATTTGTCATTCTTTTAACCTAATAGCCACTCTATTATCTGCTGCTGTATTTGATGGAATATATACACCTGCCATCTTTTTTTGAAGGCTCTTCTCCCTCATTCTTATATATGGAGTTAAAATATCTGGAAGTTTACTCAGTTGCTGTAAAATATCCATACTTGTATCTATACTATGCAGGATTTTACTATACAAGTTTATGTTTTCGCATCCAACTAACTGGGACTCAAATAATGTTGTCTATACTGTGAATGATAAAACTTTAGTTTGGGAAAATGGGTTAGCTTTTTGAGGACAATGCTGAGATGATGCAAAATTTTTAATTATGATTTGCTTATATTTATTTTAAAAGCACTTAATTTCTTAAAAAAAGCAAATTCTTCTCGCTTTAGTAAATGGAGTACTCATGTAGAAACCAAAAAAATAAACAAAAATTTTTTAAAATGGGGAATGAAATCCGAATAAAAATAATGGTTGAACGACTTGAATTTAGATAAAAATTATTTATTATTATTAAATTAATTATTAGTTTTTTCTAAATGGTATAAACATGATATAATGGAATAACCTGTCACCCCTCCCATGAGTGACTACACTATAGGTAGTAACTACCTATAAGTATCTGTAAGTCAACGGACTACAGAGACTAGCTGGGATTTGTTGATTACAACTCAGACTTATGCGAGAACTACCAACTTTCCAATAGCAGCACTCACTACTGGATTGCCTTGTGACAACCGTGTGCATAACTGTTACCTTTATTCTTATTGTACTGGTTTTTACAATAAACCTTTACTTATTTTATCCACCGTGTTGTTCAAGCATATATTCCTATTAGCACGAAATATAACAAAACATTTTAGGATCAAATGGTATGAATTAATTTTGTTTAATAAATTGATACTTTTTCAGTCAATTTTTGATTAAAACTTGAATACAGGTGAGAATTTAAAAAATGATAAAGAAAATTTAGTCATGATGTGAGGAAGATAATGAAAATCTTTTGATAAAGTAAATCTTTAAAAAATTTTTGATTGTGAATAATTGGAATGCAGTAATATTCTTTATATAGAAAATAGATGCATAGAGCACAATTCTTCAATTAAGATGAAACATCATCATCATCATCATCATCTTTCAACCTCACTATGGTTGGTTGGAACTTTATTGACAATCCTTTTTCACACTGTTTGGTCCAGTATTGCTATCCCCAGATCCCCAATCCTATGACCCAAGCTATGGTATCTGGAAAAGTCAATTTTTGTGAGAAGACACTTCCAGAGAGATGCCATAGGAATAAGGATGAGATGACTTCCCTGTCCACTTGGTGACAGTGGCCAGCATACTGTAATCATTTTTGCTTGAGCAATTGGTCTCAGTTCTCTGTAGATTGTGTTAAGTGTTGCACGGGATCTCCAACTGATGTTCTAAATTTCCTTTAGTAGATTTGTATAGTTTGTTACATGCATCCCATGCAAGAGCTTTGCAGATGTTGAAGTCTTTTTCATAATCTATGATGTGAGATCCAAGATATTTGAAGTCTTTAACTCTTTTAATGGATGTATTATTGAGTGATTTCAACTCGGATGTTTCAAGGGAGATTGCAATGTATTCTGTCTTACTTTCGTTGCAATAGAGAGCTACTTAGTTTGCTGCTTGCTCGAATGATTGCAGCAAGTACTCTGCATCCTTGATACATTGAGAAATTAATGCGATATCATCAGCAAAGTCAAGGTCAGTCAGGTATTGTGGAGGGTACCGACTACTCTGGTGAGGTTTCAAACAGAGTCCTTTTTCTTCCATATTTTCAAGAGAAATATGCAGAACATAGTTCAGAACAACTATAAACAGAAAAGGAGTAAGTGGATCGCCTTGTAGAACTCCTGCTTTAACTTCATAGGAATCAATCTCACCATCAGACAATACAATGGTAGCAGTGGTATTTCTGTACAGAGTTCTAATTGCATCAACAATTCTGGAGTGTATACCATAGTATTGGAGGATTTTGAAAATGAAATCTCTGTTGATGAACTCAAACGCCTTGTGACCTCTTTGTTGGATTTTTTCATCTCTTCCAGTGTGCGGCGAATGGAAAGGATTTGAGCAGTTGCCGACTTGCCACTGCTAAATCCATTTTGGTTCTTGCAGAGGAGTGGATCGATGGTAGAGATAATCCTATTTAGCAGAAGCTTATTGTAAACTTTTACTACAGTTGGCATGAGAGTTATACTGCTAGAGTTTTCCACACTTGTTATATCACCCCTTGTTTTGGATCAAGGCAGCGAATGGTGTATGAATGTGTGGTTGCAAAACTATGGAGGAGGTTATGAAATGTTGGATCTTTCCTCAATAATGTTTGTATGTTGGCAAGATTTTTGAGTGTTGTTTTGAGTTCATCAAGCATTGGTGTTTATGTTCAGTGTATTGGATATTTGATATGGAGGGAGTGGAAGACCACTGACTTGTGGTGGTTCTCTCAGGAGTTTCTTAAAGTGGTCAAACTAGTTAGCTTTACACTTTTTAGCAGAACCATCTTTGAACTGAATGGAAGGCTTTTATTTTCTTCTTGAGAGTGTGTTTATTGTTTTCCAGGCTGCAGTATATTGTTTCTCCAAATGCAGTCTTACAATCTTGTCAATCTCCTCTTGGATGTACTCTGCATCTACATTGGCACGGGCTTCATCTAGTATCCTTTGTACTTTAGTGGTTGCTTTAAAAGTACTTCTAATTAGCTTTTGTTCATGGTTTCACTTTTTGCAGACCTTTTCTTGCCTTTCTCATATGGACATCTGAACTGATGTGGATAAGCTATAATTTTTCCCTCTTTGGCAGTTTTGAGAGTGTGATTTCTTCTGTAGATGATATAAAATTGTTGTATCATGTTACAATGTCATCAGATTGATAAGAGAGCATTTCATAACAATTCTTAACATCTACAGCAAAGGAGTGTCTTAAAGTTCTGTTTGAGGGTGACCTTGGCCCAACTGACTTGAATCATGGTGTCTAGTATTGGCGATTTGGTTGACCTTGAGGTAAGAATCAATTGTATGGAAACTGAGCATTACGAATACTGTTCTTTCACTTGTTTCTTATAAGAATCAATTTGTGAACAAGGTCCGGATGAATGTTGGAATGTCCACAGATGGTTTGGGTGCTTTATGAACTTTGTGTTTGTAATTTGGAGTTGGAACTCTTGATTCTGTCCGTTTTACACCCCTGTTTTGGTTAGTTTCTTTATTATATGTAAATAGGATATAATCCTTTCCTATTTGACCATTGAAATCACCTGAGATAATGAGGAAATTATGAGAGCAGACACTTTCTTTTACGCCTTTCAGATTGGCGTAAAAGTTGTCTACTAATTTTTCATCACTTGTGTTGAGTCGTAACAAGCAAATAACAAGTAATATAATGAAACTTACTTTAAGCATGAAAATTACTTCAGAACATTTCTATGTAAAATTATTCAAGGTTGTTTAACCAAAATATTTAAATAAAAATAAAGTTGTAATTTTTATAAAAATTACATTAAAATGATAAATTATTTTTGTAATTATTAATTTTTAAATCTTTAATATTTTAGCATTTTTGATTTATTTCCTAAACATTTTAATGTTGTCTTTGTTATGCTACAACAACAACTATAAATGATAATAAAGTTAAAATAAAAACATTTCAGGAAAGTTTAACATTTTGGGGGGAACGGTTCTGAGATGATGGTGAAAAAAGTTAGTTTATACCCTGCAACTCACATTGGTTTATATGATAAATATACCATTTGCATTTCAGCTTATATCTGCTTTTATTAAAACATTTTTGGTAGTGTCTGATTTTATTATGCAACTGAAGGCTTGCACATTATATTTTAAATTATATATATATATATATATAATAACTGATAATTATTTTTAATTTCAAATATATAAGGATTGGCATAGGTCATATAAAAGATATAACCCCAAATAAGATATTGTGAAATAACTGATTAATGAGAATGCAACATTAGAAAAAGTTGAATAGAGGAGACGAGAAGAATTAAAAATGAAATTGAAAAATATTGGTGAAGATCAGAAGAAGAAAAACTGGTTTTCCAAATAAAATAAAAAGAGATTTAAGATGTAAACCAAAAAGAAAATTGGATTGATTGACAAGAACATGTTTCAAGAAGTTGGTGTTGTGAATGAAAGAGCAAACATACAGAATATTGCATAAAGACATTAATGGAACCACACTACCAGCTCTTAGTAAACATCACAAAAAGAGGAACCTGTTAGCTGAAGTAGTATATGAAAGCTGACTTTTCAACACGAATTTATAATGATGAATGTAGAGCCACATTAAATGGTTGGGTTTGAGTTCTTCATGAAAATAATCAACTGAAATGACTTAGAAAACAGCAAGGGAAGTGGAGTAATATTTTGTGCTCATCTTGTTGGCAATACAATTATTGATTAAAGTTGATGATAGTACCAAGATAAATGCAAAAAAAAATGATTGTAATTTCTTGGACAAGGCACAATCAGGGAACATTGTGCAAGATGGTGCTCTTTTACATTTAGCAAACATGACCCTTGTCCTAACTCAACAAAAAAGATTTCAAAGACACCCAATTAAGTGAAAAATCCCCAACCTCCCTAAATATTAATCCAACAGAAAACTCTTGTCCATCATTATGGTTATGAAAATGGAAAAAAAAGTATTCAAGCAAACATCTCATGAAACAATAAAAACTGCTGCAATAAATGCTGAAGTGAAAGAGTAGAAAAGTTAACAAGATCAGTGATAAAAAAGACTAATGAACATTATAGAATATCCAAGAGCCCTCATTAACATTTAAAATAATAATTTAATCAACCATATGGGATTAAACACCAATTGCAAGAAAACGAACAACTTAACATGCAAATTACAAATTGAAGATACCAAAATCAAACAAGTAGAACAATTTAAATATCTGTGAATTATTTTAACAGTGGAAGGAAAGTGTGAAATCAAAAGGCATGTTGGGATAATGAAAAATGTTAGAAACATAGAAGAGTACTTAACTGTTATTTAATATCAAGCTCTTCCTGTATAGCAATGAATGCTGGGAAAATTTCACAGATGGTTCTACAGAAGGATGCTGGGAATACTATGGACTTGAACATTTGAGAAAGTTTTGGAGAAAATGAAAACAAAAAAAGAACATTTCTGCTTAATATCAGGAAGATACAGTTGAAATGTCTAGGGCACAAAATTAGGAAAAGTAGGCCTGTGAAATTTCATACATACAGGACATATTGAAGGCAAGAGAGACAGGTAAACAACACATAACTTACCTAGTGAGCTTGAGTAAATGGATGATAGAACAAGGTTTAGGAAAGATAACAAAAAGACAAAGATGTATTAAGAACTACAAAAGACAGGATGTTGTGGAGAGCCATGATTGCCAATGTCTTGAAGGAACATGACACAGAAAAGGGAAATAAGATACTTTATTAAATAAGTATGTTTCTATAGACTATATCTTTTGGGTTGACTTATAAATAAAAAATGATGTTACACTTTGTTTGCATAATAAAATTTGACACTATGAACATGTTATTTTTGCTATTTTTAATCAGTGTAGAATTTATAAGCTACACTATCACAATATAGTGCTCATATAAATGCAAAATTGAAAATTTAATCGCAACAATGTTTGCTGAATTTTATTGTGAAAATATTGACTTGTATTGTAAAGGCTGACATCATGTAATTATATTATAATCTTAAATTTAAGTGCATGTGGGATTTTATGTTGTAATTTAAATTTAATATCAAGTTATCATAAGCCTTAATTTAAAATGATCTTTCATATTTGATGAATAAATAAACTTTATTACAGAATGTTTTCATAAAAGTGGAAGCAAAGCAATTCTGGCTTCTAAGAAAGACACCAATTGTTTATTTGTTTGTCTTTTTATTGTTACCTTTCCTCTCTTGTTTCGACTGACAATCAATTTGGATGCATAAGAGATGTACATGCAATTTTATTGAAGCTGTAAATTAAGAAACATTTTCATCTAAAATCAAAAACTAGATTATAGTATGAAAATATAATAATATATATATATATATATATATATATATATATATATATACATGCACACCCATGTCAATAATTCCATAACGTAATGATAAAAAAACATTTATTTTACATAAGAACTACTTATTTTTTTATATAATCTCTTTCCTTGTCAATGCCCTTAATTCAGTGCACTTAGATTGAACATAATTCAATGAAAATTTAAAATCAAAGTTCAACCACTCACATAGTAAATTTTATACAAAAACTTGTACCTCAAGGAAGTGCATTGATGTAAATAAACATGTTAATAATTTATATTCTCCATTGTTAGGTTGTCTGGATTTCTTTGAAATAAAACGTCTCAACAAAAACAATTCTCAGATTGAATCTCATCTGATTGAATCTCAATCTTCTTTTTCCATTACTCGTTCAACTTTTCATTCAAACTGAAATCAATTTTTAAAATTTTATCCATATTTACATTTTTACTTTTTATGAATAATGTTCAGATTTTTGTTCAGAAGGGGGAAGCTGTCTGCTTTGAAAATCAGCATTCAACAGCCTGATTTTTTACTTTGGGTTAATTACTGATCACTGGTGCCAAGAGAAATAGGCCTCAGTATCAGCCACAAACAGTTTCTTTGTGGATTGCTCATAGAATTCAGTGTGTCAAATATTAAATGACTTTGAAAACTCATCTCTCTTGCCTACAAATCTAATCTGAAGTCAGTGACACATTTTGATTTTAAGAACAAGGTAGCAAACACACACACACACACATCAGAGTATAACAAAATTATTCTTTAATCAATTATATATTTTTTTTTAAAGCTTGTGTAATGCTTTACATATGGTATCTTTTGATAACCCTGGTTGTTTGGAGGAAAGTTTATGAGTGTGCTGGAGCTCAGGGTTAGGGTAATTCTAGACCACTTCCTTTTACTTCAAGGGACAAGACACTTCTCTTAAAAAGCTTAAATCAGTTTTAAGTGTTCAGATATTGTTTTAGTTCTTCCCACTTATTGATTTCTGCAAACAATGTCAGTACCTTTGAAGCCCAGTTTAAAAAAAGAAATCTTCAAATCTCAATATTCGTATCCATCATAATACGTAAAACAAAAGGTACAGATTAATGATGATGATATAGACGTGGATATGAAATGGTGTATTAAAAATGGAAATAATTTTGATACATCCTAATCGATATTAAATTTATGTGCAGAGATGAAAAGTAAATTGTTCTATTAAAATATTTGAATAGAAATAAATATGAATTTATTAAACTCTATTTTGATTACAAGTATTTTATTTTTTCTCAGATTGTTCAGATTAAATTAGAATTTGATATTCTTTGCTGAGCTTCTAATTTATTGAAATTGATGCCAGTTGATAAAAATTGTTTTTTTTTTATATTTTCTCATTTCCGTGATTTACTCATAGGATAATTGTGTTCTGATTTTGGTGATTATGTCATATTGATTGAAAAAACTTTTTTTTTTTTTTTGACAAATTAAATTTTATAACAATGAATGTCTCATTTCACCATGAATTTCTGAAATGAGATGCTGTTATGAGGTTTTGTTTGAGTGACTTTCATCATCTTTTTCTGTTTGACTTCCTCAAATGAGTAGTTATTACTTATATTCAGACTAATGTCTTTTTGGTTTTCCTCAAAATGTTTCAGCCTTTGTGACAAAAGAGCAACCAAGATGTAAATAATGTAACTTTCTTAATCTTTCAAGGAATTTCATTGAATATTATGATTTTTTTTTAAAGATATTTTCGTTTGTAAATTTTATAAATTTTGCACTTTCAAAATAACTCCTTTCAAATATTTTAAAAATATATATATAGGTTCAGCTTCTTCAGAAAGACAAAAATTGTGTGTAAGGAAAATGCCTTGGGATTATTGAGTATAAAAGGGGGGCAATAAATTAAATTGACAACCAGAGACCAGAAAGTTTTTGAGTGTTTACATATATGAGTTAAAATCAAATGCAGATCAGAATCTGACAACACGTTAGAACTCTCTCTACTAGACAGACACCCATGCACAATTACAAATATGCATTATCATCTGATACCCACTTAGACATAACAAAATTTTTATAAACTTACATACATATAGAATTATCTATGGTTTTAATGCACATGATATATGACTTACCAAAGAGAATTGACCCAAACAAAATTGTAAATACCAGAGTTTCTGTCTTTTTGTCTGTTTTCTCTCAATCTCTGATGAAGTTTTAATAAAAATGAAACATGTTAGATTTATATATGTTTCCCATTTGTCCTTTATCATACATATATATATATATATATATATATATATATATATATATATATATATCAGGTTCCCCAAAAAGTTTCTGACGATTTTTATAAAGGAAATTAAAGATGCATATTTAAAGTCTTAAATGTATTTATTGATCAAAATATGACCCATCACATTTCGATGACTTTCTCCCAATGGTTCAACAACTGAGTAATGCCATTTTTGTAAAAGTCCTTCGTTTTACTTTGGAAAAAGATTTGCACTTTCGTTTTCAAGTCATCTTCATTATTAAATGTCCTGTTCTTCATATGATTATCTAAGCCTAAAAACAAGTGGAAATCTGTTGTGGGGAGAGGTCTGGTGAATATGGTGGATGAAGCATAATCCCCCACTTTAGCTCTGATATCTTGGCAAGGATCATTCTTGCAACGTGTGGGTGAGCATTGTCCTGGAGAAACAAAACTTGAACTAATCATTTTTCCATATTCTCTAATGATGAAAAATCATTTTATTCAACATGTCTTTGCATAAAAAGATGAATTCTGTTTTTCATGCTTTACTAACAATATCTTTCCCTTGACTCTTCGCAAATATTTATAAATACTTGTTAAGAAAAATCCAACTTTTCTCTTCTGATAAATGGTTAATTTTTGCCAATGATTTACATTTCTTTAAATTTAGATATGAATAAAAGAAAAGCTACACGTCAAATTTAATTTTCATTTTTTAATTAAAATTCCAATTTAATTGATCCTGGCCAATTTATTTGACTTGATTTTCTTTTAACTGTTTAGCCTCAAAAAATTACTTGCTTTGACTCATATGTTGAACTAATCATTTTTCCATATTCTCTAATGACGAAAAATCATTTTATACAGCAAATATTTATTTTTCAACTTATTCCTTTTTTATGTAATTACTTTATTAACAAATCACAAAAAGTGAATATTATAAATTGAAAATTTCAGATCAAAATTCAGTTATTGATCTAAAAATTAATTGATACATCATAATAAGAATCAAATTGTTATAAAGTAAATCTGTTTTTCCATTACTATTTTCACTGTAAGATTTTTATTGAAAACTTTTATTTTATTTTCAACCCATTTTGATTATTGTTGAGTATAATAATGTGACTGTTCTTCCTAGACTAACTGTAGTAGAAAGAATTCCATCTGGTGTTTCCCTATTGTGTACATCGATTCAATTGAGCAAAGTCTGTGGCCTCATTCTGGCCATGCTTCCCTACACGGAGATCAACAGTGAATGGAAAGTGGTTACCCTCTTCCTCTTGGTACTACAGGGACTCAAGGCATTTGTTTTTGATTCAAAAATTGAACTCTCTTTCTATCAGGTAAGATAATGCCTTTGTTTTATTTCTTCTTTTGATACATCACTTCTCTTTAATGGTCAATGAAATGAAACAGGAAGTTGTTTCTTTGATATTATTTATTTTATTTGTAAGCAAAATCTCAAACACTTCTTTCACTGTCTTTTCTAATGTCAACTCATTATCTCTCAGGATGGGGGCAATAATGATCCTCCACAGCTTCCTGCCTTTTGTTACTTTTAGCAATGTTTATTTTTTAATGACTCCTGATTGATTTTTTTCTGGAATCCATTTACTCAAAATTTGTCAGTTTGGTTTCTTGAGGTATTCTCTGCTTGTCTTGCCTTCAGTATGCCCTGTTAGTGTTAAATTCTCCAAACTCTCTTTTCTCATCATGTGTCCCTAAAATTTCATCACTTTTTGATTGTTACCAACAGTCCCTTTGTAGTTTCTAGTCCTCTTAAAACTTCCTCATTTCTCACATGTTCCAGTTCACTGGTATTTTTAACATTTGTCAGCAGAATGCCATCTTAGTTGCCTGAAGTCGTTTTGTTTTTTTCTCCATTTGAAGTGAAAATATCAAGCATTCATTGTGATATAGGAGATTAGATATTACATTGTCATCTCATCCATTTTCTAACAGCATTTTTCAAAACTTTAATACTTTGCTCAATTTCTTCACTTACAGTATATGCCTGTTCAACTTCTACTTTACACTTTATGTCATCTGTTAGTGTATTAAGAAAATAGTTAAATTTCTAAAGACCTCTTTGATTTTGACATCCCCCACTAATACATAGCTCACATCTTGTGTTGTCTCTTTTGCTGATAACCATGCATTCAGTCTTACAATTAATGGCTACTTCTCTCTATACAATTTTAATAAATAGAAAATGTTTGTGTCAAAAGAGATTAGAGTGCTTGTCACTTTCAATCCCATAAAAGTTAAATAATTTGTAAGTTTTACTAAATAATGTTACCAAGATGCAATTCTAATGATAATGGAAATTCAGATTGACCAAAAGGAGAAGCTGTAAAGTTATCATCGTCGTTAATCTTTTATTTATATTTAACCCTTTAGCATTCAGCCCACCCCCTGTATATTCTGCTATTATAGATATGACATTGTCACCACCAGTAATACAGGAAGTCATGCAAACAGTGAGACTTTAAGAGCAGATATGGTTGGGTTTGAAATGTGTTGAATGCCAAACGGTTAAATTTGTCTAATTTATAAATTAAACTTTGTCCTTGTTATTTATCTGTAGAAAAGAAAAAAAAAAGAAAGTATTTATAAGGTTTGGTGGGGTATCCATAGTTTCAAGTGTCTGCTAGGTGCCTTACAAGATATCTTCCATAGATAAAGAAAGACTAATGTACTTTAAACTCCCATTTCCAACACAAAACATAAAAAGAAAAAATACCAAATCAATGTGTTGGAAGAATTCAAGGGGTTTTATATTTGGCATATTTGTTTTGTTTGTAAATGGAAAAGATTTTTAGTAATTTACTAAACTTAATTTTGTCTCATTCAAGGCAATGAGGAGAAATAAGTAGACTGTGTTGTATCTATTTTCCATGAGGGTGGGACCTCTCTGATTCTTACTCAGATCTGAACATCTAACTCCCTAGTGGGGAAGGGGGTGCTACTATCTGTTGTGCTAAACCCTCCTACAGTAGAATGAACTCTCCCTCCTCTCATAAACTGCGTGGACCATGATTAAATGGAACTCTCTCAATATACGGAAAATCAAGTTTTTTTTCATAAAATACACACTTATCGTGGAGGATTTCAAAAGCATTTTATTAGAACTTGTAAAATACCAGAATGCACAGCAATTATAACTCCAAGAAAGAATGGAAGAGAAGTGGCAAAAACAATTGCTCTCTCAACAGGAAAAAATGGAAAATGTATTACTGCAAACCCAGAAGGAAAATCAAGAGAGACAGCTTGAATTTCAAAAGCAAGTGTTAGAATTGACAAACTGTAGTAATCCCATTGAAAATGAATTTTCTTTTTCACAACATTGAAACAAAGAAAAACCAAATAAGTTGCCCCCTAACCCATGCTACAGATGTGGGGCCCTACATTGGTACAAAAATTGTATATTCCGAAATAAAAAATGTTACATTTGTAACCGAGTCAGACACAAAAGTTTGCATTGCCAATCTAAAAATAAAACCAATATCTGTATAAAAAATATAAGGTCGGATGAACAAGATGGTGCTAATATCAGGAAATTTGTGCACGTAAAAATGTTAAACAAAAGTGTGGAATTTCAACTAGACTTCTGATTTAACTATAATAAACTTGCAAACATGGAAAAGATTGGGTAAGCCAACCATGATAAAATCTAGCAAGATTGCAAGATCAGTAACAGGAGAAAAAATTAAATTTGAGGGAGAATTGACTATAAATATAACGTTCAATGAGAAGACTCTTAAATTAAAATTGTTTGTACTGAAAAATACTAACAACCTATTTGGCACTGATTGGATGACACAATTCCAGCTTTGGGATTTGCCTATAAATTCATACTGCCAAAAAATTAAACTACAAGACAACGTCCAGCCAGTGTTCAAAAAGAAGTGAAATGTGCCTTTTGCCTCATTGGAACAAATTAACGAGGAACTTTCAACAGTAGTAAGAACTGGAGATCTATCAAACGTAGAAACAAAGAACAGTTCGTCTAAAAAGGCTAAAAAATTAGCTGCTAAGAAAGTGAAACTGAAGAAATTAGCAAAGGTAAAGACAGAAGTGCTTCATGTTGACAAGATGAAAAAGAGGGAAGTTTTTGTTAGAGGCAAAGTTGCCAAAGCAAAGAAACTGGCTCAAGGAACGCAGGCCTCTATCCCTAAACAGAGCAAGAAAGTTGCATCAGTTTCAGCAAACTCTGATCAGAAAAACGTGTTAGATTTAAAAAAACCTGGACCAGTGAAAGGGAGTAAGCGTTTTGTGCAAAAGGTTTCAGTTTCTGGAGAAAACAGCAGCAAAGGCAGCAAAAAACCATACCGAAAAAAAAGAGAGACCACAAACAAAAGTTTGCAAGCTTGTTCTACGTTGAACTTGGCAAAACAAGTCAGCCAAGTTTTAAATTCCTAGCCAAATGTAAAAATGAAACGCTTGTTTTTTTTCAATAATGTAAAACAAGTCAGGCAGGTAACCACTAAAAAGTTGGTAAACTTTCTTTTTTGCAGGTACATGTGGAAAAAAGAAAAAAAAATTATTTCTTCAGACTCTTGCAGAGTTAAGATTTTAGGAGGGGGGGTGTTGTGGTAAACCCACCTACAGTAGAATGAACTCTTCCACCTCTCATAAATACAAACTGTGAGAGTCGGATAGCAGAGTGTGAAGTGGAGTAGTAGATGCAGTGCTAATCTATTTATTACTAACACTATTGTTTTCTATATATCTTCAATATACTTTTTCAACCTACCTTTGTCTTCTGTTTCTTTCTTTCTGGCTCCTAAATAAGCCACAACACTATCTTAACTACAAAGAAAAAAAAAACAATATTCAGGTCTAAAATCAAAATAAGTTTATAACCTAATGGTTACTTTCATAAAACCACAATTCCTAGGCTTTAAATAATCAAAACTGAAACAAGAAGAAGAGCTCATTATTAAAGTTTAAATAAAATGTTTCTGGAAGTTTGCATAGAAAATGTTATGAGACAATGATTTTAATGCTTAAAGAATTTAGTCATGTGCCTTCCAGAATTAAAATGAGTGGAATTTGCATTTTTTGCAAGGTATTTATGGAGACCATATTTGGCTTCTTTTTTTTCATTTATGAATTATTTTTTTCTCAACTACAAAATAAGATTAGAAGTAAAGTAAAAGTCCATAAATCTGGACCAATCAAGAATGATGCACAATGCTTGCAACCAACGTTGTGGTTGCCTTTTTGAAAATGATCAGTTAAATTGGAACAATGCCAAAATGTTTTAAGTTGACCATTTATTGATGCATTTAGAAAGCTATCAAAAATAGATTAATATTGTTGTGTGAAGAGAAAAGAAGTCAGTTGAAAGATTAAACTTTTGAAACGACACTATATCTTCAAATTTTGTGCATGTGCAGAAGATGAAGAATTGTCTCATCACAAATTCATGAAGATGATATATGAAAAGTATTTTAAGAAATTCGAAACATTCTAATTTGAAAATATTCTGTCCAAAAGCAACCCAGGTCAGTTGTTTTAAATCATTTCCATTTTGTTTACTGGAATTTTCATTTCAAATCCAAATTATTTTAATATAATCTCAAGGTTTACATATTCATTTTTTTCTTCCAAAATCTTTCTTTTTCCATTTTTGGCAAATATTTTATTACTCTTTAAATTTTTTTGATAAACAAAATGCATTTGCAAAGAAGAAACTATCAATATGGACCTGTTTCTCTCAATTCTAATTAAAGTTAAACTTTTCAAGTATTGCCCTAGAATACAAAATATCTAAACCTCAACTTAGTCCAGATTTTCAGATTATTACTCTACTGTGTTTTTCTTGGTCTTTGTTTTCAATTCCTGTGTATTGTTGGCAATTAGAGAGTAATTATCATAGTGAATGGAATAAGAGACTATGGCAGTTCTAGGTATCTAGATTACCAAAGTTAAGCAACATTGAGTTTGATCAGTACCTAGATGAATGACTGCGTGTGAATACCAGGTGCTGTAAGCTTGGATGTGCAGGTGGTGTAATGGATAATGACTCTAAATTATTAATCAGTGAGTCAAGTTCCAATTCCAGTTGGGTTCATTATATTCAAATATCCTTGAGAAGAATATGAATCCACCTCTTCTTCCCACCCCCAGCTATGGGTTAATTAGTAAGACTTGTATCAGTAAATCATTATTTTCTCCCACCCAAATTCTTATAATCTAATATCTTCTGACTTAAATAACCTGCAAAAGGTTGATAAACTATAAAAAACAAATCAATTTATTAATTCAGTTATCTTTTGCATGATGGTTAAAAGATTAATAGACTTAATGTTTTGCAACTACCAATTAAATATTTGATAAAACTGAAAAAAAAAACAAAAAAAAAACATCAAAGCAAAGCTCTTTTATTCTCAGAGAAACGTCCAAATGATCATCTTCAATTCTGATTGTGTGATTAGAATTTCAGAATTGTTTTTATCTATTCTCTGTGAATTGAAATTGTTTTTTCTTCAAACATTTTACAATAAGCAAATAATCATTTACTGAAAGATAATATTTAATAATTTTTTTTTTTTTGTGATGACCCCTTTTTGTTTTTCTTCTCTGCCTTTCAGGTGATATTCCATTTGATTGGATTGAGTCTTACACTGGCTCTCAATATTCAACCTCTTTTGATGATGTTGTCTTACTATTTCCTTGGTAACCAACCTTCTCTCTCCGACCTCACTGGTATGTTTCTCTTGCTTTCAATTCTCCTCACAAGCAAACAGGGTAAAAAAAATTATTTCAATTAATGCTTGAATAGATTAGAAAATTTAGAAACTTAAAAGTAATTTAAATGTTTAAAAAAAAAGTCATGTTTTGATTGTTGAATTATTTTGTGGTCAAGTTGAACACTGCATGTTATTTTGAAGGCTTCATTTCATTTTGTGCACTTAAAGAAAAGAATACCTCATAATATCTTAGAAAATAAATGGCAAATTCTGTCTGTTTGTGTGTCTGAAACCCCTCTAACTAGGGCTACACTACATAGACATATTATACCTTTTTGGAAACATGATGATCCTAGGATTGAAAATCTGACCTGCATCTGGTGCTTGAACATCCAGCATTGGGAGTTGTGTCAAGATGATGAGTGAACAGTTAAAAATTCATATTTTAAAATAACTGAAAAGAAATTAGTGACTTTAAAAGTTTTTAATTTTTATTGCGTTTAAACTAACACAAAAACTTTGGGAATTTTAAAATTTTTGTTTTACATTCAGTTTAAAATATCTCTAAAACTTTGTGAATTGAAGAAATCGGTTTTATTTCTTCAAAATGCCAAGGAATCAGAGTTAAAGTATGAGGTTTCGTGATGTGTAATTTTAAAGTTCCGCAGAGTTTGTGAGTTGAAGAACTCGATTTTCAGCCTGAATTGGAATTTTGGCCTAAATTGGACTTTTCAGCCCAAATTGGTCTTTTGGCTGAAATTGAACTCATAGCCTAAATTAGAATTAAAATGAGGTTTTGAAATTCCATCGAATGAATTGAGGAATTCAAAATTATTTCTTCAAAATTATCATTGCTGTTTTCTAAGCTGGACAAGAGGTCCCTTTAGTTTTGGACCAGGAGCCCAATTAGTCCTCCACAGGAGCTCTCTTAAAAGTCCGCACAGGCAGATTTGTAAAAAAATTTTTTTTTTTGCTGGGGGACTAGTTTTCTTTTTTTTTTTTGTCTTTAATACATTTTGACATTTGTATCTTTATGTTTTAATTTCTGCATTCAATTTTATTGACATTAATTTCTTTTTTAAAAAAAAGATTTATTCTTCATTTTGATGATTTAATTAATTGAAAAAGAAACAAGGACCTTGCTACAACTTGAAGAATTCATTTTTTTATTTAAAAAATTTTCTTTTATAATATTCAATTCTCAGAAAGTTATCTGAAGGGATTTGAACCTATGCCCCCACTTTCCAGAAACTAATGCTCTAAACACTATATACTCTCCTGCCTACCATTTTGTAGATTAGACATTTGGAAGATACAATGAAAACAAATCTGTAGGAAGAAATAAATTAAGAAAGAGAAAATTAGAAATGTCAAGCATTTTGCATCTGACTCTTTAGTAACAAATAACATTAATATTTTTTTTGATACTTTACCTGGTAAATACCCAGACTAATTGACCCCTTTCCTTTTGGAATTTGCTCCTTGTCTTCATTTTGTCTTTCACATATATTGTTGAAGGTGTTAGGTTTGAATAAATTTATTTATCCACAGATGTAAAGTGAAAATATTTGTTAAAAAAATCTCATGAATTTTGATGTTTTTTTCTTTTCTTCATTTGTGTATTGAATTTTGACTTTGGTGCACAATCTTCAATATCTATTTTTCAAGTCTCTGCCATTTTTGTTATTTCTGCTTCAGGAATATGGTTGGTTCTGACTGGTTTGTCCATAATGCTGATGGCATCCATTTATTCATTGAAGAAAGAAGTCCTTACTAAAATTGGTCCTCTTGTTGTTTTCATTGGTTTTCTTCTGCTTATTATTCAACCAAGTTGGACCCTCACCTGGTAAGCCTGAATTTGATCTTATACTTTGTACTTTTTGATAGATCAAATTTTATGTAAGCATTTTATATTTTCTCTCCACACACACACACACACACGCACACTGTAAATAAACTGATCAAAGTCTTTCTTTTTTTTTTTAAATTTTTAATCTCATTTATTGCTATCGAAAAAAATGTCAATTTTTAAAGATTCTTTCTTTTTCTGTATATTACGTGTTGCAAACAGAAGGAAGGGAGCTAACTCTGAATTGTTGGAAATATTTAAAAATCATAACTGGATTCGGTTTAACGATAAAGGTTTTTTTTATTATTATTAATCCTTATTTATTCTTTGCCCTTAATTCTTGTTTATATTTTTACTCCTTAAATAAAAGTTTCATATAAATGTAACAATTTCAGTTCAGTGTGTTTGTAGATTTTGATTGTGATGTATGATACAATCTGGTTTAAAATCCCTTTATTTGCATTTATTAGCAACACAAAAGAAAGAAATGATCTCCAGTCATTAGCCATGTGAGAAAGTTCCCAACACGATTTCTTTGAGGACTACAGACTGAATACACTGTTGAAAACTGACAGGAAACTTTAGCACACACCTAATATTTTGCTATATTTTAAGTTAAACATTTTTTTAATGTTTTTAAAATCTGGATACAATTTTGATTTTCTTTTTAATGTCCACAGACATATACATGTGGATAGAGGGCTGAGTAGTTCTCTTATGGCATATTACCAATTTTTTGTGATGCATTTCTAATTGTTCTAATTTCTACTTAACAGGTTGTCTCTTCGTCAGTGGGCCAACATCATCAGCATATTGGCAATTGTACTCTTCTTTATTGTTCCCATGTCTCTTCCTCTTCCACTTGTCATGTTCACCTCTGCTGTCATCAGTGTCTGCCCAACCTATACCATCATCATGCACAAGGTACGAAATACAGTCACCCCACATTTGTTGGGGTTAGGCGTGCAGGATTTCTGTGAAAGTGAGAAAAAGTGTAAATACCCGCCCCCCCAAAAAAAACTTCAGTGTGGAATTTAGATACTGTCGAGAATAAGTAATGCACTCATATCATTAAAAAGAAAAAAAATCAGAAATCTGATATAAAAATATTTTTTGCATATTGTTAAATTAAAACTTAATAACATTATTACCGACAATAAACACACACCTAAAACATTATATTGCATCACCATCTTTCTTTGAATCCATTCTTAAAGAATCTAACTTATATCTATCTTATACAAAGAATACATGCTTAAAAAGATCTGCCATAGTGAAGTGACACTCCACTGCACTAGGTGACCTCACAAAGGTGAGGACATTAGAACTAGACAGTCACACATACACAATTATGAATACACATTACCATCCAATGCCCACTTAGACATACAAGAATCTTCACAAACTTACATGCATATAGAATTATCTACAGTTTTAATGTATGTGATATAAGACTAACCAATGAGAATTGACCAAAACAAAATTGAAAATACCAGAATTTCTGTCTTTTTGTCAGTTTTCTCTCAATCTCTGACGAAGCTTTAATAAAAATGAAACATGTTAGATTGATATACATTTCCTATTTGTTCTTTATCTTATCATTCTGTCGGATTCTGATTCATATTTGATCTACAATTGATCTTTAACTCAGTGTTGTGTTTTTTAGAATTTTTTTAACTTAGATTTAAATATCTTTTTTGTTTTTCATTATTACATCATGACATGTATGAAGAGTTAAATGTAATTCTGTAAATGAATTGATTTTTTTTTATGGCTTATCAATCTTTTGCAAGTTATTTAAAGCTGGATAATATTTTTAGATGGTAAGAATTTTTTGGAGATAATAATGATTTACTGATACAAGTTCTACTAATTAACCTATAGCTAGGAGGAGAAGAGGTGGATTCATCAATTTCCACGAAGGTATTTGCATGTAAGTGAATATAACAAGCCCAACAGGAATTGCATTTCGGCTCTCCAAATCCAATCCATTATCCATTACACCACCTGCACATCCAAGCTTACAGCACCTGGTATTCCTAAGTGGTCACTCATATAGGTGCTGACCAGGTTTGATGTTGCTTAACTTTGGTGATCATACAAGCGCCAATCTTTCAATGTGATATGGCTGTTAGCCTTCTGTAAATGAAAATCTTCAAAAGATAACAATGTCTGCATAAGAAACAGACAAATCAAAAAGTTATTTTCATGAATATGCATGAATATGCATTTTCATGAATATGCATGAATATGCATTTTCATGAATATGCATGAATATGCATGAATATGCATTTTCATGAATATGCAATTCTTTGTACTTCACTGGAATTTGGAAAAAAAGTAAATCCCTTTCTTTTACACTTTGTGATTGGAAAAAGCAAATTTGTTTCTTTACTGTTTTCCTGTCAACACTGTCTCAATTAAAAATATTTTTAAAATATTAAGTTGGCATGGAAGTCCAGACTCACTTAAAAAATGGAAAGAAAACAACAGAATTTTATGGAGCAACACCAACGTTTATTCTACAAAATAAAGTCCATCATTCCCGACGATCTTCTGCCAGCGATCAGCCAGCATCCCAATCTGTTCCAGATTCCAGTCCGTTGGCTTTGAATAAAAAAAGAAACTATAAACAAGCTTCCTTCAATTCATCAAAAGTGTCGAATTGCTGGTCCTGGAGGAAGTGTATCATTGAGCGGAATAGGCGTTAGTCACCCAAAGCAGAATCGGGTCTGAATTGTGAATGTAGAAGAATCTCAACACCATCCATCTGTTTGAATTTCTCCTTAGTCAACCTGGCCTTGTATTGTCTTACTGTAACAAACCCGATCTCTATTGACCAAAGCAGGATACTCCTTCTTTACTTTGTCGTACACGCAGTCTAGCTGCTGGCAATAGAGTTTAGGATTTGATATAATTACTCAAATATTTAATGCATTTATTACTTACTAATGTTTTTTTTTTTTTTTTTATGTGATTCATCTGTAATTTGCCACATCAGACCACAAAACTAAAAAAAATTAATTATCAATGACAAAATCTGTGAAAGTTCCTGCTTTCAGTTAATACATATATAAATGGCAGTTGGGCACTTCGAGGTGGTGTAATGGCTAGCAAGCTTGTCTTGCTAGAACAATTATGATTGAGTAGTGAGTTAGATCCTCACTGGGTGCCCCATGCTTTCGGCCTTGTGCCACATCTGAGCTACGCTTGGAAAAAAGTTCGGGCAGCTCGAGGCGATGTAATGGTTAGCAAGTTTGGCTCGCTAGACCAATTACGACTGAGTAGTGAGTTTGATCCTCACTGGGTGCCCCCTAATTTCGACCTTGTGCCACATCTAAGCTACACTTGGAAAATCACTATATAAATGGCAGCTGTGTGTGTGTGTGTCTCTGTGTGTGTGTGTGTGTCCCTGGCTAAAAGTAAAACACTACAATAGTTCATGAAAAAATAAATATATGTACAGACTCATTATCACCCAAGCTAGCTTTTTCGTAAAAGAATTATCATCGTACCATTTGTATTTATGAAGATATTTAAAATTAAAATGCATTAGAATGCATTGAAAATTCTCAGAATTAAAAAGTAAAAATGAACAATAATAATTCTTGTTCCAGATTAGGATTACCATTTGTTTTTTATTTTTTTATTCTGCTAAACACTATACATGTATGTATTTTAAAAATTTCTATTCTCTTGAATTTATTTTTGCATCTAAAGTAAATAAAAGCATAACTTTAAAAAAAATGAATATTAGAACAACAAAGTAAATTTAAAAGAAGAAGAATATTAAATACAATTGTTTGACAGAAAGTTTAATATTTATTTATTCAAATATTTGTGTGCGCATATTATTGACTTATTAATATTTTTCATCCATTTTATGGAAAATAATTTCAATCTTTAAAAAATAAACTTCATTGTTTTATGGTTTGTAACTAACATAAAAAAGTAAATAATTTTCAATTAAGTTTTATTAAAGCAAAAAACTACAGTGATCCTTATTTTTTCGAAAATTAATTTAAATAAAATATAGTTAAATTTTTAAAACAAATATTTAACATGACAAATGTTGACCGTAAATCATGTCTGTCTCTGCAAATTTTTATTTAACTAAAGTTTTTTTTCTTTTCGAATGCAAATATAACTTGAAATTTAAACATAATTGCTTTTCAAAATTAAATTCTCAATGTATCTTGTTTCTACTCTCTTTCAAAATAGTAATTAATGTTTAAAAGTAAAACTTTATTTACTTAAAAAATCTAAATTCCCCTCCGAAATAAATAGTAAATAATTATTTTTCAAAGAAGTAAGGCTCGCTATAGTTTTTGCATGAAAAAATGATTAAATTAGATATGTTTAAATATATCTTAATTTAAGTTTTACTTTTTTATTAATAATTTAAAAAATATTGATGAACTTTTATCTAAGTTTGATTTGTTTGAAAACAGTATTTGTGTTAGTATTTAAATCGAAAAATACAGTGTCTTTTTGAATAAAAATATGGGGATGCTCAGGTCCCTAAGACCACCCCATGTACATCTGAGCATGGTATTGGTAGTGTTGTATTTTTCTAAATTTAGTTATTTTGTAACAAATCAAAAAAAATGAAGTTTATTTTTTAAAGATTGAATAAAAAATTATTTTCTGTAAGATGGCTGAAAAATATCAGTAGATTGTCAATAATAAACTATTATTCAGAAATCTTCTGAGCAACACCAGGTATCCCCTCTAGTCTGATTATAAAGAAAAGTTTTTTTTTTTTTTTTAATTGTTAGATGAAAAAATGCAGTCACTCACTTCAATTACCAGTGATTGTTTAAAAGTATTAACTTTAAATGTTTTTTTTTAGTGAGGAGTTCTGTATTGGATGATATATAGGCACCCATCGAATCTCAGTAAAAATGGTTTCAACAAATATCTTCTGGTCATTTTGAAGTAACTGGTATGGAGACACTGAATAATTGTATCAAGCTAAACTCTTTCATCCTGTAATATTAACATTTAAATGATGAGGAGGTCTTATATAACATCAAATAGAGTAATTTTTATTGACACTATTTACATCTTTCAGACTGTTGTTCTCATCTTTATTGCTGAATGATGTAAATACAGAGTGCGATAAATAAATTGTTGTCTAAATTAGACAAAAATGAAAATGACACTGACATCTCATTTTAAGGGATATATTAAAATTACACAAAAATATTTTGAAATACTAAAGAGTAAATTTATTCAATGAAATCTCCATCGGCTTCAACCACGGCTTCCAGACGACTTCTTGAGTCTGAAGCCTTCATCAACAATTTTGTGAGTTCTTTTCTTATCAGAATCAAAGTGAGTTTTCTGAGCTGCCATACTTTTGTAATCATCATTAAACTCCTCCAACTGTTTCTGAATCTTCTGCATTATCCTCAGATTCTGAAATGTTCGTATTGGAGCTTCCAGTGTTAATGCCAAGCAGTACATGCTGTTTCCAAATTTCTGGCAGAGTGAATTGCTTCATGGTACTCTTCTTCTCACAGATAATACCCAACTAACCTTACTGACCTTCTGTGCAGCCAACAAAATCAAAAACAGACAATGAGCATGCCCAAAATGAAAAATATAAAATGGTGACAATTTACCCATCGCACCCTGTAGTGTAAATCATTACAATGCCTCATTTCAGAAATATATTGACAGATATGGTACTTTGGTTTTCAACTAATTTGAAGGCATGAAACACAAAATATACTTAATACTTAACTTTTTATGATATTTTTGAAAAACTTTCAAATAAATATAAACTTTTTTGGGGGTTTTTTCTTCCTTGGTAGATGTACACTCCAGAACAAATGAATGAAGCGTTGCATCTGTTGTATATTCTGCTTGGAAGTTGCTCTCTGACATTTGTTTCTGTTGTTGTCAATTGGAGAACTGCAGGGAAATTTTTGGAGAGGAATGTTTCATTTTTGTAAGTAATCAAACTTTCCTTTGTCTTTAAAATGTTGAATCCATCAATGTCAATTTCCTGATATGATGTCCCATTTTCTAGAACCTGTAATCTATAGAATGTCAATTTCAGATTCTATAAAAATAGCTTGAAATGTAGCATTCAAGCTAGCACAACTCCAAGAATAGAGTGAATCTTTTGGCAGCAGCCTTTCTATATATATCTTATATATAAAGTACAATGTGTGTTTGTGTGTGTGTGTGTGTCAAGCAACTCCTCCACTTTCACTGGTCTGATTTCAATGATTTAAAAGCCCTAGAAAGGTTAGGTGCAGGGAATGATTTTCATTGAGCTCAGATTCAGGGTTGCCAGATCATGTGAGGTTAAAAATATATATTAATACATTATACTAGCCATTATTGTTGCTTTCATGGTTCAAGAGGAGTAACTCTTATTTTCCTTTTGTATCCAAAATTGCAATGCATGTTTTATTATAAACTAGCTTAAAAGACGCCCTATCGGGCGGCATTTAAGCTAGCTCCTATGGAGGACTCTTGGTTTGGCTATCATCACAATAGCTACGGAGGAGTGAATGTGATAGGCATCAATAAAGTATAAAAGAACTCAAAATTGATCACTGCATTTAAGTATTGAATTAATGTTTAAGCTTATCTTTTAAAAGTTCAATGATAATTCTTCTGCTGCCACTTAATTTAAAGATGATTTGATGTACGTAGATCCTTATTTTCGATACAAACAATTATTTTATTTCATGGGTAACAAAACAGGGGACAATTTATAAGATAAAATTAATATAGTGTAAAGATGGGAAAATAGAAATTAGAATTAGTTATACTTTCAACATTTGAAGAAATAGAGAAACATAATAGCTAATTAAATAAAACCTATATTAGGGAATCTATATGAAAAAAATGCAAAATTGGAGCTCAATTCTCCATGAATTCTGAGATTAAAAAGCCCCACCTCTACTTTATAGTAATTTGAGAGTCATGTTGTGACACAACATTGGTTTAATGTGGGGAGCCTGAGCAGTGCCTAAACCCAGGCTAGAAAAAAATTCCCTGAGCCCCAACAAACATCGGTTGGGCTGACCTCAGTGAGAGCACCGATCACTCTCTCTCTCTGCAATGAGAGGGTGCAGCCTCAGGCAACTGTTCCCCAGGGCCAGGCACTTCTCAGTATGATTTTCCTCAGTTGTGACTCTGTCCTTTGACAGAGCCCTCCATGAGTACACTCTGCACAAAGACAGAGACGCAACTGAGAGATGATAAATAAATGTTACAAACTACTTTATTTTTTTGTTGCTGACCTTTGGGTTTGAAGTGGAGACAAGAGTGAGTGGGTGGCTGCATGTAATGGTGCTCTCATTAAACAATAAAACCTATTTTTTTCCAAATCTGAATTAATCTTAATTTTCCTCTTTGTAGATGTAGTTGTCTGGCAGTATTTGGAATATTGACCATTGGTGTTGACTACTTGACCACTGTTCCTGATGCCAAGATGAGCAGGCCTTGCTGGCAAGTCCTAAGTGTCATTGGCTGCATTGTCAGTGGATCTCTTCGATTAATTGGTAACAAAATAAAGGTAAACATTTTGAATTTGCTTATAAGAATTTTTCTATTTACATACAACTGAAAAATTTCTTTTTTCTTTTTTAGTGAGGAATCTACAGAATTATTTTATAGATATCAAGGAGTTCTTTTTTTTAGAAAAAGAAACTATATGACTGTCAGATTTTATTGGACAACTCAGTGTTTTCTACAATAAATTTGATATTAACCAAGCAAGGTTCCTAATATTTTCAAGATATGACCAATATATTGTATGATTTTCAATTTATAATGTGTCCTTAGTTAAAAAAAAATATTATAATTTGCAGGTTTTTATTATGCAAATAAAATGCAACATACATTTTCATTTATAAACCACTCCAAAACATACAGGTTATAGAATTATATAGTTGATCAAAACTCATATCCCTGAATAAAATGTAACATTACATGTTAATATAAGCTTCTTAACATTCTATAATCGTCATTTACCTTTCAACCATTAACTTTCTTACAATTTCAAATTTAACGCTGGTTGTTGAAGTAGTTTTTATTGCTTCCCAGAGATGATCTTTCTTGAATATTACTTTCTATTCTAATATACATCTGTTTTCATAATGGACTACAAATTTTCTATTTATATCTGGAGAAGCTGGAAACCATTCCATTAATTGGGTGTTTTTGAAATCATTTTTTTTTTGCAAGGTAAGCCATAGTTTTCCAGATTGTGAAGGGGCATAACCTTGTGTAAATATGCTCTTTGGCTGAAAGCTTCTTAGGTTTAAAATGAAAAAGAAACCAACAACATCTTATTCAAGAATGTAAAATAACTTTCTTTTACAGTCTGTTGGAGACAATCCAACACATCAAGTGGTCCTAGCATGTTGTACATTTCATAGTACTACACAAAGGGTACTTCAAGAGCAGCTCCTGTAGCTTTATCATTTGCAATATGTGCAGGGTCTTTCACCACAGGTGAACTTTTGCCGAAGGTTTATTGCACAAACTGCTGATCTATTGTTTGTCTCTTCAGTCTTGTTTATGGATGAGGCAACATTTGGAAGAGATGGAATAACAAATTTATACAACCAACAGGATTCCCCATCATACAATACAGGTTAGGCGCCAGCATCAGTTTACAATTAATGTGTGGGCAGGAATTTTAGGGGACTATCTGGTAGGTTCATATATTTTCCCAGCATGTCATACAAGAACTGTCTACAGGGACTTAATTCTGAACACACTTCCAGACTTGCTAGAGGATGTACTCCTACTAATGATGAAGATGCATCATGGGCCTCCAGCATATTTTAGTCATATTGTTCATGATGGCTGACATCTACCATGAAAGATGTATAGGTAGGGAAGACTGGTTTCATGGCCTGCAGATTCCTCCAACTTCAGTCCTTTGATTTTTATCCATGGGACCAACTAAAACAATTGGTTTATGCATCAGACATTAATAATGCAGAGACACTTCATCAAAGAGTCATGGGGGTCAGTGAAATCAATTGACACCGTGTTTGAAAGGGTCTGCAAGTCAATGATCCAACAGGTGCATGCATGTGTAGAAGCAAGTGGAGGACATTTTCAACATTTGTTATGAGTTGCTGTATTGAAGTACAACAATGTATGTTTATATGAACATTTTACCTTGTTTTGGTGTCAAAAAACCTGCCCCTAAAGTTTGTAAAAGTATTTTTGATACACCCCGTGTATATATCTATATTTATTTTATATGATTGACCTTTAAGTTGCATAAGAAAATCTTAAAACATGAAATAAATGATTGTAAATATTTCTAATGAAAACAGATTTTATAAGTTGCAATTAAAATATTTTTAGCATAAAAATAGAAATACATCTTGAAAATTTTATCAATATTGATTTGTTAATGCTAATTGTGAAAACATTGCTATGCATAATAAAATCTGATAGTGTATTTCCATATTGATATTATTCTACATAAATATATTATATATATAAGAGAAGATCATTTGTAGATACAGTGTAAACAAAGAAATCAGCACTGCATTGTGACTGTCATTTTCACACCTTAAGCAATCATCAGATGATGTGTTCTGATAATAACTCAAGACATGAAATTTTTAGTCACCTTGCATTATGCATTTCACTGTTCACACTTTAGGCCATCCTGAAGACTTAACTTTATTAAATATATATATATATATACACACACACGCACACACACACACACTTGTTACGCTAATATGATGCATGATTTATGTTGCTACAAGAGTATTTTATAATTTAATTTTTTTAGTTATAAATTTTCATTATAACATGCAGCTTGCTGACTTCAAGTGTTGCTGAGTATGTTTGTGTTCCGATAACAATTAGTTTTCTCATTAATAAAACCAGTTTGCTAATCATTACATGTTGGATGGAGAAAAACAAATAAAATATACATTGTTTATTGTATGGATTTACTGTATTTGATTTCACATAAAACCTTGACCTTGCATTTAATGTTATGGAATTAGGTTAGATACCATGTCTAGATAAAAATTAACCTACCAGATAGTTTGATCATATTTTCTTTTTAGAAAAAAGTGTTTGAAGTGATCTTATATGGCATCCAATTTGCTATGTAGTTGACATTTGATTATATGTAAATAATGCTGAAAATTTAATAATTAAGGCTTGATTTTTTTTTTTTTAATTTAGACAGATGAGAAATGAACTTTGCAATTGATACCTGAAGGTTTGAATTAAGAGTGCAATAGACTTGATTAATAATAATAATAATTATTGATCAAATGTTTTTCATCAATCAATGCACCTTTGTTGCATGTTCAAAATTGAAAAAAAATTTATGTTTATGTTTGATTTGAAGAGCCATTTTCAGGATTGTTTTTGTTAATAGACTTTTCTGACTTTTTTTTTGGTGAACAGGACTCTCCTTGAATAGAGTTAAACTGTCAAAGAACTTCCTCTACACAGTCAATTTTGCAACTAGATATCTCAGGGTGAGGTTAGACATTTCCAGTGCAAATATACACGCACACAACAAAAGATATAGTGGCAGGCTTACATCAAATTTGCTTTTACAATTCATGTTGATTCAATGTTAAGAAAATTAATGACAAAGTGGAAAACATTTTTTGTGTGACACATTTCGTCTTTTAGAAAGCTTCATTATATAGCATTTTCTCCCATGTTGATTCAACCAAACTGTTCTCGGATTGCCATCAACCCATTTAAAATTCATGAGTAGGTAACATTTTCTTTCCAATACAAACAGGCTATTCCTGAGGATTGAATTGAGTACTTTTGTAATATGGAACTTAAAATTTATTTAAAATAATTTCAGAACAAAATTTTGCTTGATTTTTCAGCAAGAAATATTGGTGAGTGATTCTGACACAAAGTCACCTCCCATGTTGCCTGCGTTGGGCAATGTGGCTGCTGTTTGCTCTTATTTAATACTTTGTATGTTGTCGCCAGCACCAGGATTCATCAGGGATGTTTGGGTAAGTGCCTTCAGGTCTTTTCTGGATAGCCCTCTGCAACGCTTTCTAGCCAAACACTTAAGTAAAGAAATGAATCGTAGAAAATGAATGTCTCAGTTGCCATGCATTTTGCTCAGAAGACTTTTGGGTTTTCACTTAAAAAGATGTTGGCATTATCTGGATTCTTTTTGGCAGGCAATGACTGTATCATTTGATGTTTGAAAATTCTTCATCATATTAGTGGACATTGTCGCCACTGGATGTTGACGCCAATCTGTTTCATGCTTAAACACAATCTTCAGGCTTGAAACAGACTGTCACGACTAAGTGTTGATCTTAATGTCCACTTTTATATTTACATAAGCTCTATCTCTGATATTGAGCACTTTAACCCAGAAATATAGCATACCTTAAAACTATATATATACACATACATACATACATACATACATACATATATTTCCTTCTTCACTGATAGCACAACTCTGGTTTTCATGTACAATGTAATTATTAGGTGCTGATTGGAAACTGACCATTGCATAATTTAAATATTGATATTTATACTGCTATTATTATACATTGAGCATTATTTTAATAGCACCAGCACTCAATGTGTAATATATATATATATATATATATATATATATATATATATATAAAAACCCTGGTGATTTGGGTTCTCAACAGTCAAAATGCAACTAAATGCACCAAAATGAAGTTGCATCTTTGTAGTAAGTAAATTGTTTTTGTCTATATGAAAAAATTATAATAAATAATTATTGCTCTACTATCGGTATTGAGCCCACTTTTGAATTAATGCTGTGAATGTTGGAATTTATATATTATTTTCATTCTCGTTACATTTGGATATATATATATATATATATATATATATATTTTCAAACATTTTGTTAAAATCAGCTGACACTGTCTTTAATTTTTCATATAAGTTATTGCTCATTTGGATCAAATTGATTGAGAAACTATTTAAAGTTTGCTTGAATGCTTTTGATTAACTCTAGTCAAAGAGAATATTGATCATAAAAGCTGAAACAAAAAGAAAAAAAAGATACAAACTTTTAAAGAAACATTTAGGAAAACCCTATTTTCCATTTATTTATTTAATAAAATCCTTTTTCTTGGTATTTTTTCATTGCATTTGTCCTGAAGAGACATGGCAATCACAACATTTTCTTTATCATCTGTGAATTACCATGACTTCTTAGGAAAAAAATGCACAAGAGTTTTCCATTGCTTTCTCTACCCTGCTATTTCGGTGAGACAAGAGATGTGTTCATGCCTTTCCCAAGGGTATTACTGCAAAATGAATGCAAATCTTGAATGAAATTTGAACCCAGCTTGGTGATTTGCATGTTGATAGTTGTGCTGCTACCCACGCATCCCAAGTAGACAAAATAAGTCACAATTTCTTGTTGACTTAATTAACAGTCTTAAATGTCTTCCTAGATAGAAAATAATTTATAAAGAATGTAATTAGTTATGCTAAACTAATTTTTTCTTCACACATAAAGAATAGAAATGCCTAATAATAAGTTTCCAAAATAAGATCTTTGATAAGCAAATAAAATTAGCTTTAAAGAATTTTACAAATATAATACAATGATCCGGATATATAAATATCATTAATTTATTCTGTTGCAATCAGAACATCTTAATGATAAAATGAAAAGACCATTAAAAATATAATTTGCAAGTAAATATTCAGAAAATTTAATGTCAAGTTTTGTTTATCCCTATTGAACTAATTTATTTTTAAAATGTATATCCCTTCTAGTTTACAAACCATCTGACACATGATGTCACTTGTATTTTAAAAATAGAGTATTTATAAAAATGTTAAGGTTTCTTGCAACTGATAGCTAACATATTTAATAATGACTAGAGATGGGTAAAAAGACTTGAACCAAAGGTATAAAATTTGAACAGTTTTTACACAAATAAGACAACAGAAACTAGAAAAATATTGGAAAAAATTAAATAGATAAAATATAATCAATTTTAATAAAACTTGTTTAAATGAATTTGTCTTGCTATGTATGGATTTAAACATATGAGGATTGGCTGGAAAGTCCATAGGCTGACTAAGATATAAATGTTGGTACACTTGCATGTCTACCAGCTGGTGTGTCTACTTACATTTATATCTTCGTCAGCCTTGGAACTTTTCAGACAACTCTTGCACACACACAGACAAAAATTATATATATATATATTTATTAAAGACATTTTTATTTATGTTTAACGTTGTTATTTTATAGATACAAGTATTTAAGCAAATGCTCTGTTTAAGATAAACAGTATTAAATAACATTTACCGGCCTGAATACTGTTTATCTTAAACAGAGCATTTGCTTAAATACTTGTATCTATAAAATAACAACGTTAAACATAAATAAAAATGTCTTTAATAAATAAATTGTCGGACCTTGTCCATTTCTTAACATATGACGTCATTTGTTTACATTCGATACGCCAGAGCAGTTATGAATGTACGAGATTCATGGAAGATTGTAGTTTATAACAGTAAATTCGACCTTGTCTACCATAAGGTTCATGGTGGCCGAGTGGTAAGGCATGTCAGCGTATATGACAGTTCCAGTATAGGATGCAGGTTCGAATCCTGTCTATGAACGAATATTTTCTATGAAAATTTCTCGGACATTCAGGCCGGTAAATGTTATTTAATACTGTTTATCTTAAACAGAGCATTTGCTTAAATACTTGTATCTATAAAATAACAACGTTAAACATAAATAAAAATGTCTTTAATAAATAAATTGTCGGACCTTGTCCATTTCTTAATATATATATATATATATATATATATATATATATCTACCTTCTGATCATTAATACATTTTCTGTTATTAAAATCACATTGTGGTGCGAATTAGGTGGAGAGGTGACCTGTTAAAGGGTCAGGGTACTTGGCAGAATGGATCTGATGTTGCAATACCCGAAATCTGTAATGAAGCTAGGGTAACATCACTGATGACCTCTACTGTTGCATTTTGTAAATGTACTTTAATATAAATATATATATATATATATATATATATATATATATAAAAGCATCACCCTTCATATAAGGTGTGAGTATGTACGTACATCAGTTGTAAGCCTAGTCTGATGATGAAATAGCAATCTCTTTCTCTTTCATGCACTTAATTCCCTGTTGAATATTAATAACACTAAGCAATTTACAGTGAAACTTTCAGATCAAAATTCAGCTGATGAATTCCATTTCAGGCTGTGAATTTATTAATCCACAATGTCTGTCTGTATAAAATGAAAACGTCTTGATTATCTGACAAAGAATAAGAGATAACTCTGAAAAACAAAAAAAAACAAAAAAAAACAATTGTATTTTTTATTAATATTTGAATGTTTATTGACATCATCCCTGAAACCTGTTGAACATATCTTCCCTTACCAGGTGAGGTGTCTCCCCCGTCATTTTACTCTGTTATTTCTCATATTTAGTTTGTGCACTGCTATGAATTTTCTTCAGAGTACAGTGGTTTCCCTTGTCTTCTTCATGGTGATTTTATTGAGATACCATTTCTAGCTAGCTGACCATTAATTCATCAAGTGCTCTTCCACTCTATAATATGTAGTATTTTTGTTATACACAGTTGCTAACCACCTTCGTTTAACCCCTATAAAGAGACACAGGAACCATTTTAATTGTTGACCATCCAACAGAAGAGGAGGAAAGTTTTAATTTAATATTCTTAATTAATTTCTCCCTTACCTTGACCATCAATTTAATAAGGATGGACTTGGGAGGGGGAGAAACAGAGATTGATTATAAACAACTGACTATTTTGGTTTCACTCTGTCAAAATGTTTAATGGAAGTGACTCTCTTCCTGTTTATAAGATATTATACATGTAGGGCTGGATTATCCTATAGGCTGCAGGCAAAGGGATCCTCCAGATTGATTATAATACAGGTTATAAAAATATCATTGTTTTTGTTTTTTTTTTTTAAATCTCTGGTTGTGTTGAAATATGTGCTAATTTGGTCTGTAATAAAATGTGTGAAATAGTGGTATTTCTTAAACATTTTTATTGTCAAACAAAAGATAGCTCAACACTTCAAATAAACTAGAATAGCTTTGTAAATGTTTCAAATAGCACAAAAAAAAAAAAAAAAAATTCAAGACAAGTGCGGGTGAGTTAGAGAGTGACTCCATAATTTCATTAGCCTTGGAGACCTAAAATATCAAAATCCAGTCCTGTATTCATGTAAAATAAAAGATAGAATCAAATAGAAGCAGGAAAGGAATCTAGTTGCTTTAGTGTGAGTGCTTTAATGAAAAGAAAACTTTGATTTGAAATGCCATTTTCGTCGTTCAATTTTTTCTTCTTGTAAAAAGTTACCTCCCCTTAAGATATTTTTTTTTTTTGTTAGGTATTTTTGTTTGATTCACCTGCTTTAATTTGTGTTTTTCTTCTTTCCAGTTTTGTGCTGCAGCCGCAGTGTTGATTTGCCTCCAAAGAGACCAACGTTTATTCCAGCAATTATCAAACAAAAACCAAATGGTGCCAACTATTTTCATGGTCGCCTTTGTCCTTTGGATCCAAACATTCTTGCACTGTGACATTTGGTTCTCACAAGAACTTGGTAGCTCTCTTCGCAGTGCCGTTGAATTGATTATCATTTTCATTACCACCCCAGTGTACATTGTACTTTGGGGTATCCTCTGGCTTGATGAGATCCGACTCAATGAGAAACTTGTTATTTTCCTAATGCCTCTCAATTCTTTGCTTTTCTTGGTTGGAAGCACTTACACTGCTTGGGCCTTGGCCATCTTTGGAATGTTTTCAGGAATCTGGATGATGTCCTGTAAATTGCCACTTGAAGTTGATACACCACCAGAAGAAACTTGAAGCCCTACGGTGGCAGCCGCAGCCGCAGCAGTGGGATAACAGGTTGCAGTCATTTGTTGTTCACTCCCCCCCCCTTTTTTTTTCCTCTGTAATGCAGGTTCAGTTCATTTCTTTGTTTTGTATAGAAATTAAATAAACAAAAAAAAAAATTAAATTAATGCATTACTTTTATTTTTTATTCATTCTGTGGTTATTGCAACAGGTATTCTCAGGTAAGTAATTACAGTCATCTTTCTCCAAGAAGTGAATAGGGTGGGGTGGTATATACCAACAACCTGAAACCTTAATTTATATGTTAGGTACAATAGGAAATTAATAATTGATAAAAGGTCTTGCTGAAAAGTTCTCAGCTCAACCAAAAAGAAATTTACAAAATAATCTTGATATCTAGTCAAAGTTTGGGAAATGAAAAACAAAGAAAGAAAGAATTATTATTACAGAATATTGTTATAATTGTTTTGTTTTTTTTATTATTTGTATATTGAGAAACTTTATTATATATATATATATATATATATATATATATATATATATATAGTTAGGTGTTTTGGAACAGGTCGTTTGTGCATAAGGGGAGACTACTGTGCTTAGAAATCAATTCCATCCTTACTAACCTATAAAGAATTTATTGTGGCAAAAAGTTTCTCATATTTTTAAAAAAATCTTATTTTTTACTAATGTTCGCCCAATACAAGGTCAAAGAGCCACTCAATGTAGAGGGTTACTGTGTGAACTTATATTAACATAGGAAAAGACGTGTGTTAATAGTACAGAGCTGAAGCAGACTTTAGAAGGAACTGGAAACTTAATCCTAAACAAGAAACAGTGTAAGCTTCTCTCTACTCCTGCTCAAAAGACTGGGGACAATAGGCAAAGTATCAAATTGTCCTTACAATTTCGTGGAAACTAGATAATTGGATTATTATATTCTACTTCCTATAATTTGGAATATTTGCTTAAGAAAAAGAAAAAAAGATATGTTATAGAATAGACCTCAATTCTTTTCAACTTTGGAGGCTCTCAAAGATCAGAGACCAGAATCAATAAAAATGATTATCTGAAAAATTCATAGAATGACATTTTTTTTAGCCATCTTATTCAGACTAATTATATCATTTAAAGATGAAGTATTAATCATCTTAATCTTTTCTATTTTGAAGGCATTTCAGCTGATGCATTCCTTTTATCTTCAAGAATCTTTGATCAGGTTCATCATTTCCAATTGAAGCAATGATGAAAGATTCTCCCATCCACTAAAATAATTAAACACAAAACAATCTGTTAAACCTCAATTCTTTTCAACTTTGGAGGCTCTCGAAGATCAGAGACCAGAATCAATAAAAATGATTATCTGAAAAATTTATAGAATGACAATTTTTTTTTTTTTTTTCTTTCAGTCATATTTTAACTAGAATAATGAGAGCTGACATAAACTAGCTGGGACCCTACTGTAAAAAAAGCTAACACCTGCTAAAAAAATGGCCATAGTTATGTAAATGACGACACCACAAAATTGAGAAAGGTTAAACAGATTACTGTAACCCTCAACCAAATCTATTTTTCTTGTAATTCATGTCTTGCTTCTGGGGTTGTTTCAACCAGTTTGACTAAGATTTCTGCAAATAAAAAGCTTAATCACAACATGAGTGGGGAAAGTTCAAGTGGCAGAGTGACACCCAAATGGTTATCCCAGGATGGAAAATTGAGAAGATGTTTAGTTATGCCTTCCATTATGACTGGTTTTTTTTAAAGAGTCCCCAAATGTTTTTCTTCTAAAAGGGAATCAGGATTTTAGATTTTCCAAAAACCTACATTGGGAAAATAACTCAAAGTAGATTACATATAAATATATTAATATTGATGCTGAATGTTTAACCAAATTGCAAAAGACATGAGATTGGAAGCAATTACTTTTTTACATCCTCTCAGTATTTATAGCAAGAGATTCTGGCATAGATTTCTAGCTAAATTAACTCCACTAATTGGAAGAGGCAACTGAAGAATTAGAACTTTTATTGTTAGGCTGGAGAATTAGCATTTAACCCAAAGATCTTCTAAAGGAAAACCAAAAATAAGTTTAAAAAAACCCCACAAACTATCCAAAATGCATTTGAGAAAATTAAAATAGAGCCGAGAAGAATTAACTTTAATGACCTGATTTGTGAGTCTTTGCTTGGAATTAACAACAGTTTAATTGACATTGTGAAATTGGCTCATTAACTGTGGCACAAATGTCTTATTTGCAGTTGAGCTCAAGAACAGCTATGACAAAAATTTCTATTATCTACCGTTAATGGGATAAAAAGCTTATTTTTAAAATACCTCAAATGTCAAACCCTTATAGTTGAAGTGCCAGGATAATTCAATAAACCACTGAATAGTAGTAAGAGCACAATGACTGAACAAAATGAGTTTAAAAAAAGACAATCATGGAAGATAGAAAATGTTGGCTTTCCTTGTGAAGAAAAGAGTTTGGACATGCTGTGAATTTCTGGCAATTATCAAGATTGTTTATTCCTATCAATTTCATTCTAATTATTTGTACATTGTTAATTTATTGATTCCATTGTATAAAGAAAAATTGAATGAATAATAAACTCTAATAATTCTGATTTTTGAACAATTTTGGATTTGCAACTAGTGTAACATTGAGTAACTTAGAAATTGGCAAGCTGAGTTTGTTGGACTTACATACCAATAGCCTTGGAAAAGGTATCTCTTCCACCAGCTATGGGTTAAATAGCAGAGTAGAGTGGACTCATTTGCTTTGATATAGCAGTCAATCTAGGAGAAGAAAAATTCTGAATTCAAAACCAACTTGCCCTAGACACACCACTGCTGTTATGGCTACAGTACATGTGGGGGGTGTCCCTATGACCCTAATGGTTCATGGGACTCTTGACAGGATGCGATGTGTCGATATTTAAGCAATGTCCTATAGCAAAAATGCTATGGAAATTTTCAGCTCATAAAATTTTGATTATAAAAAATGTCAGTGAGTTGGGAATGGTATGTTTAATTAAATATTTATGAACAGTGATTTCACTTAGAAATAGACTTTAGTTCATTGTAATGGTTTTGTTTGGGTCCTCCAATTTTCAATTTCTGAAAAGTCAAACTATTCTAAAAAAAAAAAAAAAAAAAAAAAGTTTTCCAGTTGGAGTCTAAGGTCAATAAAACTTACTGAATTTTTTAACAGAAATTAACAGAGTTGGTCTTTTCGACTCAGAGGTCCATAAACATCTAACAATTTGACCAATGTACAGTACAACAAAGATAATTCTAGAATGGTAAAGTAAAAAAAAATCCGTGTGTGTGTGTGTGTGTGTGTGTGTATATATATAAAATATATATTTTGTGTGTGTGTGTGTATATATATATATATATATTTTTTGTGTGTGTGTATATATATATATATATATTTTTTTGTGTGTGTGTATATATATATATATATATATATATATATATATACACACACAAACGGATTTTTTTTTTATTTTACCATTCTAGAATTATCTTTGTTGTGTGTGTGTGTGTATATATTTTAAGAGTAGACCATTTTGTCCATCTTCATCTCCAAATTGTAAATGATTCGTTGCAAAAACAGCAGCTGTTAATGTATAAAATTTCCAAAAGTTGTTTTAATGGCCGTGTCCAAACTTTTGGCTATTGTGGGTCATTTTTCTGGTGTATATAATTAGTGTACTATGTGAAAAACAGTAATAGTCTAATTTGCACATTTAGTGCAACTTTATATTCAAATTTAATATAACAAATCATAAAATAAGTCATCACACATTCATGGCACGTGGTGAATGAGACTTCTTGCATTTTGTATTTGTTCTATTAAATTTAAATATAACACTACACTAAATATTCTACTTATGACTTACTATTTTTCTCATAATACATTAATAACACAGCCCTGACAATGACTCATGAGAGTCAAAAACATGGACAACGACTATGGAAGTTTTGGAAATTTCATACATCAACAACTGGTGTTTTTTTTTATCATTCTCAATTCTTCAAGATGGAAAAACTCAATAGACACATGGTGTGTGTGTGTGTGTGTGTACACTCTTTAATATGACATGTTTGAAGTAACAATTGCTGCCTAATAACACTATATAAAAATGTTTGAATACAAATAAATTTGAAAACAATACAAAATCAGTTTATAGATTTGGCTGAAAAATCTTTGCAGAGAAGTACTTTACATTTTTTTTTTTTTTTTAGAAATAAAAATAAAAAAATGTTAAATATTAGTTTTTCTTATTTACATTGTTCAGACTGTTGTCCTCATCTCTATTGCCATTCACAATGTTTTGGCCATTGTACGCTCTGCCCATTTTCAGGTGATTGTTTGGATTGTTGTTCGAAATTCCATTGTAAATAATTACAATACCTCATCTCAGAAATATAGACAGATTAGTTTTTCTCTTTGCTTAACACATTCTTCTCATTAAGACTATTTGAAAAGCCAATATAAACTGGTGACCCGGATATTTTGCCTTTAAATCTATAAAAAAAGAAAAGAATTTGTTGTCTATATATAATGGGAGGCCTTCATACGTAGCAAATCAACGTTGTAATTTGTTCTAATCATTTATGTGTAGAGCCATTTTCAAAGGGACCACTTGACAAAGATTGATACATATTTTAATTATTTATAATAAATGCCTCCATTTGGATTTTGACTCAGAAAATTTCTTGCATTGTGCATGAATAAATATGTTGTAGAGAGTTGATTTGATTCATCTAGTAAAGAAGTTCTGTTATCAACAATGTCATATCAAGCATTGTCAATATATTTGTAAAATTCTGAGGGAAGGAAAGCTTTAAATGGGAATAATTCTAATCCTATTCATATTTTTCTGGCAGGTTTCTTATAATTCTATTTCAAAATGGCTGCCCTTCTAAACACATGCAGAAAGTAAAGACCTGTTATTGAATCTCTGTTTTTGAAAAGGAGAAAGTGCTGCAAACATTTATAGGAAATTAGTAAAGTTTTCCATAAACATTCACTAAGTCAATAACGGTCATCCTAGTGAGAAAGTCAAAACTGATATTAGTAACAGGTCAACTACTGCTGTTATTGAGGATAATACCATACAGGCTGATGTTGCCATTAGACCTGATAGAATAATTTTTATTGCAAATCTTTGAAAGTGTTCATGAAAGCCATGATAGTGTTTGCAGTTTAGTGTAATCTTTTGGTGATTCAAAGTTAGTTTCCAGAATATTGACATTCATATTTGTGAGGGAACAGTGAGTCGTTTTCTACTTAACAGCATGCTTGCATTAATGGAAGAAATGCTCATGGGGACAGCATTTGTCCAATGATAATAAAATGGAAGAGTCAATTTACACAGAGGTAAGAAATCAACCAAGAAGTTTTTTCGAAGTTGGTATACATGCCATCATTCAAAGGGCATCCTGATTGAGAAGGAAAGTATGCAGTGTGTGTTTCTATTATTAAATTTGTTGTAATTAAAAAAAAAAAAAAAAAAAAAAAAAAGGCATTTTATTTATTTATTTCTTTTTAAACCCTCATAATTACATCTTTGCTGGTTAGGTCAAGGTAAAAAAATCATTTTAGTATAAGACAATGTTAATTTGACATCTCAAAAGTTCAGACCAAAATTATCAGATTGATACAGATACGATGTGATACATAAATGGAGAAAGAAAATCTCCACCCAATCTTACATTCCCTTAAAGACTTCAGAGATCTGAAGCTAATCCCCACCTCAATTTAAATACATTGGTCAATTCCATATCAATATAAACAGTTGTATAAAGATCAGGGCATGTCCTTGTTATGGAAAGGATTCATTATAACAAATGGACATAAGCTCAATTATAAAGTGAACTCTAGCCAGAGAAAAGTTATTTGTAGACTGAATAACATTGAAACAGAATCAAACAAGATCTGAACAAGTCCTACAATAAAAAATTCAACAGGCTCAAGGTAACAGAAGCTAAAGAGTTTGAAAGATAAGGGTTTGAAATACAAAATTTACTATAAACCTTTGAAAAGCAGCTGTTAACATTGATAAACAACCAGTTAAAGAACTCTAAAAGAAACAGTGCTAAGCAAAGATGTCAAGCATTAAGCAAATATCATGTGATAGCCCATTTAACTATAATTTTTACAAGATGGGAGAGTCTATCATACATAAAATAGGGAGTTACTTTTCAATCACCCTGTATATCTCCAGTAATGGCAAATATACATGCAGAATACATTGAGAAAAATGGCTCTAAATGCAATAAAGTTAAACTATTGATACAAAATGAGATTGCAGCCCCCCTGAAGTATGACATCAATTTCTGAGTAACACATCAGGAAAGTTTGGTTCACAGTGTCATGTCAGACAATTCTTTTTGTCAAAATCCTTCTTGCACTTTTATAAATCTACCATTCATCTGTGCATTGAATACTGCTGCTGCGATATCTAGTCTGGTGTTTCTACTATATAGCTTGAGATTGTTGGCAAAATTCAAAGAAGGGACTGTAGTGTAATTGATTCTGACCTGACATCTTGACTTCAGTCACTTTCTCACCAATTTGATGTAATTTCGTCTCAGTCCTTTCTACAAATATTTTCATGGCAATTGTTAATTGTACCAACAAGTTTTCCTCTTTGGTGCTTCGACGGCATGAATTTAAGTGTGCTGCTAGATTGGCAACTAGGCCTCACCATTTTGTTGTTGAACTAGCTAGATGCAACCGTATATTCTTTCCTAATGTTTTCTTTTCTCGCACTTCTCACCTGCGAAACTCCCTTCTGATTTCTTGCTTCCCTGCCACCTACAATCATCAAAAATCCAAATGCAATGTCAGTTGCCATCTTTTCTCTTCCTGAAACCTGTTCGTTTATTGTCCTTTTCCTCACTTCTCCCCACTATAGTCTTCTCATTTCCATTCCCTGTGGCATTATTGCCTTACATGGAGGTGAAATGATTAAAAATAAAATAAGACTATATAGACTAACTGGTAAGGAAAGTTCAAAGATGTAACTACAAGACTAGATTTAAATTATTTGCCTAAATCAGTAAAGCATCATCCATATCAGACAGATCTCCAAGTATTTAGAATCTCATCAGGCCCACTTTATTTTTTTATTTATATTGCGTTTTATTCGTAATGGTTGTAGAATGTTAAATATCCTAATTGGGACCATAAAAACAACAAAAGAATTATTATTATTAAAGTTTGTCCTTTTGTGAAATAATTTATGTGATGGCATTAATTTTTTTTTTGTCATTCAAATAAAATTCAAAAACGTTTTATCTACAACTTTCAGCAAAATCATCAATATACTAAATTTTGTTTAAACTATTAACATTTTCATATCAATGTTTTTACTGATCTATTCTCCAGCCATTATCAGGTGTATATGCTAAGGAAAAAAATATACAAAGCAGATCAATCCATTTTAGCAGCATTAAGTATGCTGTCAATGGTTGTCACCGAAACGTGAAAAGGAAAACACAGAAACTTCAATCTTTTTAGACAAAGAGAAACAATTTTGATTTATTAGAAACTTTTCATCCATCCCTGTTGATTCGCACACAGACTCTCACTCATTTTGACAGATGCAGGCACGTACTGAATAAAAAATGCAGAGATATTTACATAAAAATATTTTGAGTCACAAAGGTGAAGAATTTGGGATGGGGAAGAGGGAGAGATTTTTTCCTTTCAGATTCTCTCTATCTGTTTTTTGTTTTAAATTTTAAGTTCTTTATTGGTTATAATAAAAATATTTAGCTGCAACATCAAAATTTGATGATCAAAAAAGAATGTTCAAATTAATTACATGTAAAAGTTAACATGGTGGTCAAAGCAGTCTGGCTCATTTTCGCAATCAAATGAATTCTTACCTTCATTTTTTTTTGCTTTTTTTTAACAATTAATAAAAAGGTCAATAAATTGCATATTGTGACTGTGTCACCAACATCTGTTCAAATATTTGTAACCAAATAGATTTTTACATATGTGATTATATATATATATATGTGTGTGTGTGTGTGTGTGTATCTGTGAGTATGTATATAGATATAAATATTTGTGCTGTATATGTAACAAGTTGTTAGCTGGAATCAGCAGACAAAATCTTCTACTGTCTTCTCAAGTTTTCTAACCTTGCCTCAAGGTCAGCATCTGCATCACTGACAGCAGCAGCAGCTGCAGTGGCCTGGGCTTGTTTTCCTGCTCCAGTCGTCAAACTTCCAGCAGCATTGGGTAAGCCTGAAAATGCAACAATACACATCAGTGACAAAACAAACAAATTCACTCCCTCCCACTAACCACTTTATCATTAGGGAGACATCCAGTTGCAAAAAGACTTGATCAAGTTAAAAAAAAAAAAAAAAAATCATTAACCAGCATTTCTCTTATGCTAATTGCAATTGCTTTTCATTGCAACTATGGCTGGAAATGATTCATCTCATCATAATAAAGGTTCATGAAAATAATACTTATATATATATAAGAACAAAATGTCCAATACAATGACACCGAGGGTTTGGGGAAAAATAAGGATTAAGCTTAAGTTGTCAGATTTGATTCACGGCTGTTTAAAAGGCTTATTTTTGTCATATAGGAAAATCCAACATGGCACATAAATGAAATATTTGGCAAAAAATCCCATTCATCAGTAACATTTTAAACACCTCATAGAATGTAAAGTTCTTAAAGAAAACCTGTGCCAAACTGTTTTCTTGACTTGGTTGTCCGAAAATGACAACATCAAGATGAAATAATGGACACTGTGAAAAACATAATTATGCGCAACAAGTTTTCGATTAATAAGTAAACTTTTGGACTTTTTCGGGCGACATTATAGGATCCAGATGGCTATTGTTTGCACACGGAATTATTCACTGGTAATTAATCTTCGATTTGGCTGTGGAAAATGTCACTTGGTGGTTAGCATTAAGAAATTATGCCCAATTTTCTGAGAAAAATCCCCCTTTTTTTATGAAAAAAAATATTTATTTTCACTTCAAAATAATATCATTCAAACTTCATCCTTTTCTCCTTAATTTGGCATGAACATCATTGAATAAAACAATGTCGTCTGTTAAGTGTTGTTGTCATCATCTGGGTCACGGGGTGTAAAAAACAAAACACATCAAGCCATTGTACAAACATAAGTTTAACAAAAAACAAACAAACAAAAAAAAAAAAACTTATATCAAGCCCTACCAATGTTGACCCTTTTTTTTCTTTTCACTCTTTGCTCTTATCTGGGAGTGGTGGGTTTTATTACAAGCTGACGATAACTTGTTCTAAACGTTTATTGCTGGCTGGCTGGCTGACCTTTGACCGAGATATGTCAAAGTCAATTTGGCTTAATTTTACTTTTGGTTTCTGATTGTCAGGAATTGCAGATAAATCTTTCACCTTTTACTAAAGCTATCTGTGGCTGGGTGTCAATTTTTTTTAACTCCTGGCAGTCATATAATTGAAAATTACCAATGGACTTTGTCGCATTTTGACCCCCCCACCCAGGAATGTTGATTTCCTTCAAAACTCTCTGTAAATATATATAAAAGTATGAAAATCCATTTTTTCAGAGAAAATAAGCTGTGACAAAATGACTTTTGCCATTTTTGTGAGGATTTTTACTTGGGATAGAGAATTTTTACCATAGCAAACCTGAATTGACTTTATTTAAGTTCAGTGGGGCTATAGGAAACCTCAAACAGCTGTGGATTTTCTGCAGATGACTATCCAAAGTACAAAAAGGACATGTGCTTTGCACCCGGAGCATATTCACAAATTTGCATGGTTTACTAATGTCCTTAAAAGAACAGGTTGAGTATTTGCAATGAAAAGCAACTGAAATTAAGATGAGAAAATCAAACTGACTTAACTGTACAACTGACTATAATGTTCAGCCTCCTATCTATAATACCAGCATATTAATTGCACTTGGATACGTTTTTTGTTTTCCTGTCAGTAAAAAGTACATGTTAGAGGCTGGAAAATATGAAAAAATATGAAATGCTTCAGAAAGGCATCCTTTAGGTTTTATTGAATATTTATAATAAGAAAAAATCTTCCAATTTCCTACCCAAAACACACACACACACCTATTTTGGGCCAACTGTCCAAATACCTCTGTCATAGCACAATGGCTAGCAAACCTCAGTCCCAAATGTGTAACAAGTTTGATTCTCTCAAACTACCCAAATATTGTGATCTTGTGCCAAGCGAAAATTCATCACTGTAAAATAACTAAGTAGCTTACCTGAAAGTTCATCTGCCATTTGTAGTCCAAGTTCATCAAGTACCTGGGCAACTACTGCATCACTGGAAAAAAGAAAGAAAAAAAAAAAAAAACTCATTCAGAATATTGCAATACACCATTTCATTTAAGGTATAACAGGCACATTTGATGATTTGGGGGGGGGTAGGGATTCAATATTTTGCCACCTTTTTATCTTGGAGTAAAAGTTTCTACAGTTGTTATTTTTCATTTGTTTTCTTTGGAAATAGTCAGGTGCACATTATTTGATGAAAAAGACAGCAATTTAAAATCAAAGTAATAAAATTTATAATTTAATGATGGGGCAATCCACCTGATTAAGTGATTCATATCAATCTGATAAGAGACATTGTACAGTGTCAATATCAAATAGTGTTTCTTTATTTTTTTTTTTTATCAATTTTTGATTAAAAATGTTATTTTTATTGCCAGTCACATTCTGGTTGTTAGTAGAAATGTCAAACCAAAATCAAAGTGATTACTAAAATGGTTGTCTAAATAATCAAATGATTATGGCAAGAGTGGAAAGAAAGACTGCATTGGAAAGACAGATCTGAGCTTCCAAATCTTTAAATATTATTTTTTGTTTCTTCCCATCATCCATTTTCTCTAAACAACTGGATTTTCGGGGGGGGGGGGTACAACAGCAAAAAAAACAAAAAAAAAACAAACAAACAAAACAAAAAAAAAAACAACTTTTTTCTCTTTTAAAATAATTACATTTCCAAGTATAGAACCTTTTTTTAGTAAGAAATCTGCAGTCTGAGAGAAAAGTCATTCTCTATCCTATTACATGTATAGAATAAAGAATGACTATTCAAATAGCAAAAAAAAATAATGCCTTTTATTTTAGTAGAAAGTGACAAACTCAATATAATTTGTTATTGGTTGGGTATATTGTTTCAAGTCAGCTATGGCATTCCTGGACATCCATCCATCTGCCTACAAACATATACTGAGGCTTAATTTCCTCCCTATTTTCTCTGGTTTCGAATGATCTGGGACATCAGCCTGATGATAAGGTGTGCCCTATAGAGTTTAAGTAAGCATTACAAACAGAAAAGGGATAAACTTTTTTTTCTTTTAAAAAAACAACTCGATGTCAGTTCCTGTTTGACACACGTTTTTTTTTTTCTAATTAGCTGGATTCCAACAATAATGCTGTTTACTAGCCTCTGTGGATAAAAAAAACCCTCATCAACTTTGAGTTTCTTCTTCCTTAATCAGCCATTTTTATACGACAACTGAAAAATAAAACTTTTCTGTCAATGTTTTAATAATTTATTAAAGTGGGAAATTATTTACAAAAACATTTTACAAGAAAAATTTAACAAAAGTTTAACATTTTGTAAAATTCATTATATTTATGCTGAACAGAAATTTTTTTTAACAGAAATAAATTACAATGCAATAAATTAGTCAAAAACACTTAATGTAAAAATTAAAGAGACACAGAAATTAAGTAAGACTGTATAGTGCAGAGAAACAAAATTACTGGATGGATTATAGTGAAATTTGACACATGCCTGCTCTTGGTATCTCAGGAATATGATAAGAATATTGGCACCGAGTCAATTTGTTATGGGGCAGGTTTTTATATAAGTAAATATTGGAATATCTACAAAAGCATACAGAAATATTTACATTATTTACATTATACGGACTATTGTCCTCATCTTTGTTGCCATATTTATTACAATGTTTCTAGTTCTTGAGGACACATGGCACAGTGGATAAATGTGTTAGTTAGATTCAGTGACAAGACTCAAAGAGTGTGAGTTCAATAACTGGCTAAGGCAGTGGAGAACTTTCAGTGGTAAATTAACAGGAGATAGCTGATAACTGACATCCAATAAACGTGGCATGTGGAACGTTCTAGTTCCACGTGCCATGAGTCTACCCCAGTGAGCGAAATAAAGGGTTCAGTTTGGCATTCCAACCACCTGAAGAAGGCCGGAGTGTACAACGGCCGAAATGTTGTAATAAATATGGCAACAAAGATGAGGTCAATAGTCCAAATAATGTAAGTAATGTACATAATACCTCATCTCAGAAATATATACAGAAATATTTACATATCTGGTTCTACCGATTTGGAAAAATCCACTGTTTTAAATATTTCTATATAAATATTTTAAACGCTGAATAATCAAAAAGATTTTGAAAAGATTTTTGAAACAAAGAACCAATCATCTCTGTTTGGTCAGTTCACTTGAATGTTCATCACAATATATTGGCCCAAAAATGTTTGGATGAAAACAAGAGTTTAGACAATTTGTGGAATTTGGAAACAACACCCTTTCATAACAGGAGTCACCTTTTGTGCAAATAATAAACAATAAAAATTTGTCACAAGAAGTTAAGTCCCCCAAGGATAAACAGCCCAGTAGATAAAGATGTTGGTTGAAGTAATCCAGTGACTTGACCCAAAAGAATTATAGGTTCATTACCTGTCCACAGCATAGGAGAACAAAAATTTGTAGAGTTGATTTACTAAGGGGAATTTAATGAATATTAAAATATCCAGAAAAGGCATGACATGTGGAACTAGAATAATCTACCCCAGTGGACTAAATAAAAGGTTCAGTTTGAAATTCCAACATATATCACCTGGGTGTACAACGGCTGAAACGTTGTGAGTATGACAATAAAGATGAGGACAACAGTCCGAACAATGTAAATAGTTACAATACCTCATCTCAGAAATATACACAGATGTTGAAGTTAAGAGTTTAAAAATCTATTTGAATTGTTTTGTAAGGTTTCATTTGTACAACTTTTCATACAAAATACGAAAGCAATTAAAATGATATTTTGAGTAGATACATAACCTGAAAAATCAATGCAAATCAAATCTTATGCATTTAGATTATTTTCTTATGAAAATCAAATAAAACATTTTTATAAGCACAAGCTAACAAGAGAGCAAAAATTGAAATGCTTTCTTTAAACCACATCCTCTTGGTGTCAGTTTAAGCTGACACCTTCTTTTATTTCCCTATATATCTAAACCATAATTGGGGAAAACAAACATTTCTCTGAAATATGTTGGAAAATATCCAAGTTTTCTTCTAAAATTAAGAAAATATGAATTTTATGCAAAATGGTCACAGTATATGGCAAAAAAAGAAGGTATCAATTTAAGGTGACACCAGGTTTATTTACCTGGCCTCCCCACCAATGCTGGATGTGACACAAGGTTGTTCTAACATGGGGAACACCATACATCTACTTATGCATATGGGCCAAGGTGAAAAAATTGATTTTTGCCCAGACCTGGTGATCACTGTCACCAGTATTATACCAACAAAACCTCTGTAGTGTGATGAGGAAGGTGCTGCTGCAAGGTTGGAATCACCAGGGCTGAACAACTTCTCCAATCTAAAATGAGGAGAATGATAGCTCCATTTACAGCACAGGGGGCAAATCCTCATTGCCTAATGGTTAACTCCAGGAAGATATGGGTAAATCACTTATAAAATATGTCCAACATGAGAGCTGAGATGGGCATTCTTATCGACCCCAGTTTACATACACCATTTACCTTTCTTCTTCATCATCTTCATCTCCCATTGCATCATCAATGGCATCATTCATCATTTCTTCTTTCATGTTCATAATTTCAGACTGCTTTTCAAATTCCATCATAATTTTCTGGATCTGTGGCATCTTTAACTGCAAAAAACAAAACAAAACCCAACCATTAGAGGTTATCACGTTTGCCAGAGCATAGGCGGCTGTTGTCTTCAGTTGGTGACAGCCAGAATGATAGAAAGATTTCATAACATCAAAAATGCATATGCAATCTCATTGATGGTAAGTGGACAAGAAAAATCTGAATTAGAAATTTGAATATTTTTACAAGTCAATTGTTTGCTTGAGTTTGAAATTAATCTGTTCTGAAAATGGTTGGAAATACTTAGTTTGCTAATTGCCAAAAATGTTCCAAATATTTCTTTTTTAAATTGAGAATTCCCAAGAGAATTATTATTTAAGAATTTTAAAAGCAATAGATTTTCAATTTGAGTCAGTTTCAGTCTCATTTTATAAATAAAGTAAATGTGCTTCTACTCGAGCAACAATAAATGTAGACAGATAAGAAAAGTTGACTGGTTAGAGAGAAAAGCAAAACTAGCTTGAGTTAACTTTTGAATCCATTGTTCACCAGCACCTTCATGAAAAAAAACTCAAAATGTCATGACAAGTCTTTTCAAGAAGATCAAAATTACACATAGTAAATAATACTTAAGCATTTTTTTTTGGTTTTAATAATTTTCACTTTAGTAGATGAAGTATTGAAAAGTGTCTCATGGCAACTGAGGTTTTATGAAAAGAAATTATAATTGTTTAAGAGTGAAGTCAGCACTTACAACAAAAATGGTCAGTCTGATGGAGTAGGCAGGGTGCAATTCTTAAAAGCTGATAAGTTTTTTGTTTTTGTTTTTTTTTAGTTGAGATCATACCTGATGATTAAGACAATGTTTAATGACCAGAAAAAATTTTAATGGTTGGAAACTGATGAGAAAGAAATTCTTTGAGGTCAGCAGTGATGTAAATTTCACCAGACTTTAATTTTTTAAAAAACACATGACAGCTTAACAATAACAGTTATGAAGTTCATCTTGAAAACTGTCCCTGAGATCTTCATTGGGTGCATAATAATTGTAGCCCTGTGACAGACTAAGTAAATATCTGAAGAATTAGCTATTATTCATGAATAAACACATTCAAAATATAAAACCATTCAAAGACTGTTTTCTTAAAAAAAATTATAAACAAACTATGAAATGAACAAGTCAAGTTCACCAAAAAAGGTGATTCTGTTGTATGTGTAGAATTTCTTAATGTGCTTTTGTATTGCATACTGGCAACATAGTAATCAGGTTGAGAAAGTCTATGTACATGGTTGAATCCCAATGACTGGCATAATAAAATTTAACATATAATAAAATCTGACATTGCCATATTGCTATTATGCAAGCCAAGGTTTTTACAAGAAAATTGATATTAAACAATAAATATTAGCAAACTGTCCATGATATATTTATACAAGCAATCAATCATGTCAGTTCCATCTTATTCAAAATAATGATAACTTGTTTTAGAAGTGTCAAGTTTTATAATGCAAACTTGAAACCTCAAAAATGTGGTACATGAGAACATCAATTCCAGTTGGATCCCTCGGATTGATTGGAAAAGATCCCAATAGACTCATTGAAGGGGTTCCTGGCAGCCCATGCCTTAAAGAAATACAAAAAATTGTTCTCATAAGTACAGTCCACACCTTATAAAGGGCTTTATCTATGTAAAACATGTGTGATTTTTTTTAAGTGGGCTCAATACACAACAGGACATCAGGCGAACATCCTCAACCTCTTTCTAATCTCTTGTCTTGATAAATGCTTAGTAAAAGTTTTACCCCCACTAGGTACATCAGACCATTCCCTAATCAGTGTCCAGATTAATGCCAAACCTAAGGCATCTCATGATGTACTGTAGAATGATTTTCACTATGCAAAGGCAGACTGGGACAGCTTTTGATCATACATGATCCCCTCTCAACCTTCTTCAAGCATGATGCCTCCAAAACTGCTGCCCTTGTCACTGATTGAATCTTTTCTGGGATAGAGAATTTTATACCTCCAAAAAATTCCAACAAAAACCAAACAGTCAATTCTGTTTCACACCTGAATGTGCTGCAGCCATAACTCAGTGAAACCACTACTTCAATATCTAGTGTAAAGAGTGATGTAGTTTGGCCTTCACTGCATTCAGAATTGCCTGCAATCACTGTAAAAAATTTCTAGAAGATGCCAAGTGTTGCTATGCATAAGCAGTCCAGACCATGGTTGAAAAGAAACAAACAGGATTCCATGAACTCTGGAAGACCATCAACTAAATCATGAACAGGGGTAAAATGGCTGTGCTCACAATTATAAATGGTCCCAGCATCATATCTTCCTTCACAGATAAGGCAAATCTCTTTGTCTCGATCTTTGCCTCTAACTCAACAAAGACCATTCCCCTCCCCAACTTACCACATCTCACTGAGCACAATCTCAGTAGTATTATCATTACATCATGAGAAGTGTCTAGACTTATCAAAGGCCTTGACAAAATTCCAGTGGTTGTCCTTAAGAACATCAACCCGGAATTATCCCCAATCCTAGTGAAGTTATTCAACCACTGTTTGAAGAAGAGATCTTTACCAAACCTGTGGAAGGTGTCTGATTTTCAAGAACATGGGCGCGTGATCTTCCCTCTTCCAGTACAGACCCATCAGTCTTTTCAGTATCATTAGTAAGCTTTTTGATGTCATAATCAATAAGAAGGTCAAGCACCTAGTATTGGTTTCAATCAGCCCAATCCATTGCCAATGTCCTAACTACCATCACTCATAAAATTAGTGATCTTTTGATGACAAACACACCTTGAGGACCATAGCATTAGATATCTCCATCTCCATTAGGCCATCAACAAAGTGTGGCACAATGGTTTACTATAAAAGATCTCCAGTTATGGAATCACTGGAAGGGTCTTCTTGATCATAAAGTCCTTCCTAACAGGTAGGTCCCTGAAGCGAGTTATTAATGACCAGTCCTCCAGAGCCCTAGCACTCCTCAAACTAACATTTTTTGATCTACATAAATGATCTTCCTAAGAATATACTCAGATCATTTGTAAACATCTATGCCGATGATATAACTATATACAGACACACCTTTAAAACTTTTGATGGTTAGAGATTGGCAACTGAACTCTTCTGATCTTTTACCCAATGGATAAAAAATGGCTGGTTTACATTCAATGCCTCGATGACCAATCATCATCACTAATCTGACCCCAAACTACCACCAATCAGGATTAAATGGAGGTCCACTTGGGGAAGCACTGTGCCTAGAAAGACTGTTGGGCTCAAGTGGAATTTGAACATATGATCCATTACTAAGGATGCAGGTAAAGTGGTTGTCTCAAAGTACCGCTCCAGTAAGTACCGACTCCTCATGCTATCCTCTACCTTTATAAGATCAGGCCCAAAATGGAGTACTGTTGTCATATTTGTTTAGGAGCTGTCCAGATCTCATTCTCCAGCCTTGATAGAGTCCAAAAGTATCTCCGAGCCCTTGTTGGTGACAAATTATTCTCCACCCTGCAAGCTCTCTCCTATAAGCAGGATGTGGCAAGCCTTTTACTGTTCTATGACTACTTTCGTGGAAAGGGCTCAGACGAACATTCCCTGATCCCACCAAGTCAAACCTTCACAGCAAGAGCATGCCATGCCACATACATAGTAGAAAATCCCCCACATTCCATTGGTGAGAAGTTAAGTTCCATTCAAGCAACTTCTTCCCATGAATCACTGCCCTGTGGAACTGACTCCCAAGAGGATCACTACAATCTTAACATGTCCAAAGCTAGAGTTAACTGTTATCGTCCATTCCTATTCACACACAAATGGCCTCCTAACATAACTCTCTATCTCAAGTGGACCCCAGGCATTATAAAGGGTGAACCTTACTGTAAAAAAAAAAAAAAAAAGTGCTAAAACATCACTTTACAAGTGAAAGAAATGGCCAAAAATCACAAACAGCATATGAATCAGATTGGTAACTGGTGAAATATCCTCTAAGCATGGAAAATGAAATGAAAAAAAATATAAACAGAAAAGACTGAATAAAGGGTTCGGTTTGAAATTCTAAGAAGGTTACCAAGTACAATGGCAGACATCCAAAGAATGTTGGAGAGTACAACAGCAAAAATGTTGACAGCATAAAACCCAAGATCAGCATTTTGGTATAAATAGAAAAGCATATGCACTTTTACTTATAAAATAAATAAATCCAAAAGATATATACTATAGAAATACATTTGACTAACACAACATTCAATGTACATGAATGAGTTATTTTCTATCTTAATATAGTCTCCTTGACATTCTATAACTTTTTTCAGTCTTTTAACCATTGGTACTGTTTACTTTCCTTACTGTTTATATTTTTACTGCATTTTTATTATTCCCAGAGATGATCTTTGCTTGAATAAAATACCAATTTTATTTTATTGACTTGCATCATCAAATCTGACACAGTGTAAACTGAAATAGTCTAATCATTATATGTCCTTGTTATTAGTGACAATGTTAGGGGGTTACTTTAAAACTGATTAAAAAGAGAAAGTTGTGACAAATATCAGTGCACATGATATTTGATGTCATAATATTATTTTGTCAAAGACCAACTTTTTATTGCTTCAATAGAAACTGTATGATATGAAATTAAAAAAGAAAAGAAAACCAAACAACTTCCAAATGGTAGTCCCTACCCTCTATATTCCAAACACCAAAACAATAACTTATGTAGTTACCAACCAATAAATGGACATTATTTTTTATTTCATCTTAATTTGGTAGTATTGTTTTTATCACAATTGTTTTTACATTCTACAACTGTTAAACAAGATGAATGACCAATATGAATAATGGATGCAAGTTGAAATTTCACAGGAAGTTGATGGATTATTTTCTGATCCATTTTGATTGTTTAACAGTTGTGGAGAATAAAAACAATCTTAGAAATAAAAAAATAAAAAAATTCAGTATTCTTTTGTAATGAGTCAAAGAAAAAAGGAAGACATCTTTCTGAACAATTTAAGTCTACAGAGGAAGGATCAAAATGACAAATATATTAAATAAACAAAAATAACAACTTCAAAGATACTTGTATTGTTGTCTATTTCCTACCATTGCCATGAATCAGTTGTTAAGTCTGGCTAAAATGCCAACTGAGGGTTTTCAAAGCTGATTTTCAAATCAAACAAACACTATGCACTCTTTGTATTCTACCTTTCTACCCATGTGGCCTTGTGTTTTACTAAGCCAAGTTATGCAAAGAACAATGGATAAAAATCTGCTCAGTATGAGAGATTCTAATTCTGTCTTATGCAGAAGGCACCTATTCCTTGCAGTAAACAAACTGAACAGTCCTGCCTTTCTTTCTCTTTTTTGTAACACATCTGTTAAAACTCATCAGATATTTTCTTATCCCCAGATTAACTCATAAAGCAACAGAAATGGATTTATTCAGCCACAGTTGGAAAGCAATCTCTTTGGTCTAAGGAAAGACTGCATAAGCACAAGCCATTCCCTGTAGTCTCTGAAAAGTTCACAGGATGGTTAAGGGAAGATTAACAGCCCAGTGAACAAGTGTCATATTATAGGTCAGGAGGATTAGATGTCCATTTTATAGAAAGAAAAAAATATTCTGACAGCATTTAAAAGAAGTCAGGAATTTTCCCCTAAAATATTTTTATACTTGTAAAATCTATTATAAGCAATAAAAACAAATTTGTGTCCATCACTTTTAAAGTCATCTCATTTTTTTAGCCAATCTTTTGAAATTATTTTTTTTTTTTTCAATTCTCTCTGAAGAATGATGCACGTTGTTTGCTTATAAATGTGCAAAATAATGTTCTTGGCTTTACCAATTTAGTTGCTTTATAGAAAAAGAAAATAAAACTAACAAATGTAACAAAAACTAAAATGTAGGAGGCTTTCATAGACAAGAACATCATGGCTTTCAATAGAATGAATCATGGGAGGACACAATACAGTTTACAAATCTATTTTTTTCTGTCTGTACATTAGTTTATTTGCTATATTTTAGTTTTTCATATAAAATGTAAATTTTGTTTTAGAAAATGATCATACCAAAAAGCAGATTTAAACTTTAAAAATAAAATTTAGTAAAATGAAACAAACGTTACTTTATTCAGACCAATTTTAAAATATTTCTCATTATGCATCACCCATTTTTTGTAACTGACAAAAAAAAAAAAAAAAAAAAAAAAAAAAAAAAAAAAGGTACTTGCTATGGATTTTACAAAATTCATAGTAGAGACTTACAAAATGTTACACATTTGTGTTAGCATTAAAAAAAAAAAAAAAAAAAAAAGAAAACGGTGTGTGTAGGCGGGGGGGGGGGGGGAGACTCCAAAATACAGCCCCAGCCTCCACAATCTGGATATGACTTCTGTTTTTCTCATCTACATTTAAGTAATTGATTGTTTTCTAATGTCTGACATTTTGATTCATTACATTTGGTGGAATTACATTTTGTTTCTTTATAAATTTTACACATTATCATCAACAACCTTCCTGATATCATCAATTCTCAATTCGGTATCAATGCTGATGATTTACTCCTGTCTTAACAGTAAACCTGATCGGTTTAATAAGGTCAAATTGTCCGTTAATCCCCAAAATGAATCTTCAATCTGTTAACTGAAGCAAAAAATGGTTTGTTAATTTGAATGCTTCCAAAACAATGTTCTCTTTTAATCAACTGAGAGAAGCTTTTTTGCTTTCCCTCAACTTGGCTGATACTAACCTCCAGGAGAGTGGCTCATTGTGTCTTTGGCTAATGTTGTCTGTTGACATAAAATGGAAAGATTATATTGAATCAATTGCTAGGTCTTCTGTTAGGAAAGTTTGTTCACTGTGTGGCTCTAGAGAATTTTCTTCACCAGAATCTATCTTACACATTTATAAGTCTACCATTTGTTCACACATTCAATATTGCTGTCACATCTGGTTTCATGCTTCTGCTATGTATTCTTGATAAAATAAAAAGAAGAATCTGCAATGTTATTGGTCATGTCTTGGCATCTCAGCTTCAATCACATTCCCACTTCCATAACAGATTTCCCTATTTTCATAAATATTTTCATTGAAATTGTTCTGATGCACTTTCCTCTGTGCTACCTTGATTTTATGAATTTAAGCAAATTTAGCAGCAAGGACTCATCATTTTACACTTAAAATTGATAGGTTAACTAAGTTCTATGCTAAGAGTTTCTTCTTTCATGCTTCTCACTTGTGGAATTTTCTTCATGCTTCTTGCTTTCCAGTCTACTTTAATCTTTAAAAATTTAAATGCAATGTGAATCATTATCATCTGTCTTCTTAATTCCTGTTCTTTTATTGTTCTCTCTCTTAATGGTTTCCTTTTCTCATATTCTCTCATGCTCCTTGCTTCTTATGAAATGATTAAAAATAATAAAAAATTCACAGCTAATGTACTGAAAAGTTTGGAGACTAGCAAGTTAAGATTCTAACATTAATTACATTCATTTTGATTTTTAGCTAGGAATATTTTGCTTATCAACTTTCTTAAGATAGACTTTATTAAGCTTGGTCTAACCCTGGGTTAAATGAAGGGTGTACCATGATAATCTAACAAGCTTAAATATAACAAAAAGAAAAAAATATAAAAATTGAAGTCTGTAAATTGCAAGGAACAGGAGAATGTTTAACCTTTTTGCCACAGATACACACTAGAGTTTATACAGCAGGACTACCGACTTCTACAGGTAGAAGGAAACCTTATTTTAGTCACTTTGGTGTTTTGATACAATCCCTAAACAGTTAACAGTATAACTGAACATGGAATGAAAATTTTACTTGGTAGCCTCTTGTCATAATAAGGAAAGAGATTTGGATGAATATGGTCACTGAAATTATCTTCAGAAATTCTCTAAGAAGTTAAAAGACAAAGTTAGTAATTATATTTATTAATTGGTCAAAAGAGTTTCTAGAAGCAGAGACTGAACTGTTGGTTGGACTTACTTGTTTATTCATTGTCTGCATCGCTCGTGTCACACCTTTCATTGCTTGTGCCATTGCATTGTTTGATCGTAAAGTCTGAATTTTCAAAGACACAGCTTGAATATTTGCTTTCATTAAAATGAATTTCTTGATGTAACGTCTGGTGCGCACCAAATCTTTGGCCATGATTTTAACTGCATCCTGAATAAAAAAAAATAATAATTAAAAAAATAAATAAGTGTCACATAAAAAAAGAAAAAGTAAGAGGAGTAAAGATAAAAATTGAACCAAATTCTCTAATCCTTCTAATCTGTGGTGCTCTTTAAAAAAAAAAAAAAAATAAAACATGGACATTTACCCTTTGATATTTTAATATGTTTTTTTTCTAAAGAACATACACAGTTTCATATTATATATATCAATAAAACATGCAATGGTTAATAAAATATTTAATGAAATCTAAAGTTTTATTTGCTGAATAAACAACCTCTATGTGGGTAGTGATTGGAAAAACATTCTGGTAGGATGTTTCCCCAATCACCACACTCTTGACTTCTTAAGTCTTTCCTGCATAATCTCATGACATTCATTTCTTGCCATTTCATACACTCATAAAAACACCACACCATAAGTGGTTCTTGATCCTTGTATTGGATATTCATTAGTATAAAAAATGAGTTAGGATGCAAGATTGTGCAGATGTAAACAAATAGTAGCTATTTGGAAGAAATTCTCTGAATTTCAAAATTTCAAATTAATAATCAAGTTGTAAGTTTGAAACTTTAAAATGGATTGTAAGTCTGATTTGATGAATAAAAAGAAATGATTAAAAAATTCAGAGTAAAATGCAGGAAATAATTTGTAGATTCATTGAAGATCATGAATGATTCTTATGCAGATTTGATAATGGCAAATTGGTGACTTAATCTCTTAGATCTGTGTTCTGTAGCAAGAAATACATTTTTAAAAATTTGTCTCAGCTAAACTATGAAGTTTTTAGGTTTTCTGGCAGTTGAAAGAAAAAAAACCCCAAAAAACAAGATGTTGGGTTCCAAATCAAGTGACAAAACATGCATTAGACTCCCTTTAAAAACATCTATAAAGAAAAATCTAATGAAATGGACAAGAGAACATATGAAGATTGAGTTTTCATCCATTCTCATAACATTGCAGACAGACTGACATTTTTTTGAAGGTTTATTTGGTGCCATGGGTCAAAAAGAAACCAAACACTTTGAGAAATTTTTTTTTTTTTATGTACAACAATGTTCTATTGCTTTTGTTGGAAAAACTTATGAACATCTGAATAAAATTGATTTCAAAGACTCATTTCATGAAGTGGCCATCTTGTTGGCCCAACTTTAAATCAATTGAAAACTTGTGGATAATTCTGAAGAGGAAAATTTACTTTACCAACAAAAGATGAACTTTGGGATTCTATGCTGGATGTGATGCAATTGGTTTCATGTGATCAAATATAAATAAATAAATAACTTCTAAAACTACTTTCAAAACTTGGAACATACACTTCACATTAATGTCATCTTTAAAACTTTGTTGTCATCACAAAGACACTGTTATTAATTTTTGGCTCATAATATGTCATAAATTTTGCACACATTCTGTGCATTTTTAATTACCGGAAATGTTTTTTGAAGTTTCATTAACATGAGAGTTGGAATATCCAATAAAATTCATAAAATTGATGTTACATCATGAGGATGACATATTGTTTATGTGAAACATCTTACACATTAATGGTGCAAATATTTCCCTGCTGAATACATGCAAATTTTGCTCTAGTCATAATATGTATTTTATGATGAGAGTGGATCAATAAACACACAACATGACACATGGTTTTTAAATGAATTTTAATCTGAAAATTTCACTGTATAATGTTTGATCTTTATCATTAATATTCAACTCTGAATTATATTGAATGAAAGAGATTTGAAGAATGCTTGTATAAAATAAATGCTTTTTCATCATTACTGTATATATGAGGGGAAGTCAAAAATTATCCACACTCATAACATGTTATGGTGAAAATGTGGATAATTTTTGACTTACCCTCATACTTAGTGATGTGTGTCTGTGTATGACAAAAATATTCAAAATGAATCTGAGCTATTTTAGCACAATATATTTACAAGAATTGTTTTCATTTTTTCAAAATTTTTAATTAGAAAAATTTATTATGTTTTAAATCTTAAAATTCTGTATTAATTTCAGCCTTTTAGATATTATTAGTAAGTAAAAACTATATTTAATAATCATAAATGGAAAAACTTAATACAAATCATCAAACACCAATATTTTTAAAAGAATTCTGAATGCTTTTTGTCGATGAATAAATGTGCTGATTTTTGTAAGTACTGCAACTATATGTGACATGAGAAAATAAGTGCAATAACTATGGTAAATTTAAAGTCAACATTTCTAAAATTCAGTAAAACATTAGATTATGGAGAATATTTTCCTAAGTTTTACAGATTACTGAGTATTTAAAAGTTATATAAAAAGATGCTCACATCATTTTCTTCAATTAGGGTTTACAGATAATGTCTCCATAGAATATTAGATCTGTCATTAGACTGTCAGAATGTCAACACAAGTATTGTCGGTTTCAAAAATGCACTTCTGTAATATTTTAAACTTAAAGTAAATACAGTGTAACCCGGATATAAGAGAGTTGTCGGGACCGGAGAAGTCTCTTATATCCGGGTTTGGTCTAATTTATATACATTAACACAGGCTCTAATTTGGGGCCAGAGAAAATCTCTCTTATATCTGGGTTACACTGTAATATTTGTTTCAAATCAGTTTAATTGTACCTTAAAGCAGCTAATTCCTCAAATAAAGTATATTTTATTTTTGGAAGATTTTTTTTAATTAAGAAAATTACATTGTGATGAAAGATGACTAAAAAAATTTGCAATCAGCTATTATAGTGAAGAAAAAAAAAAAAAAAGTCCTTCCAGTCAATTTAAATTAGTTCTTGAAATACAGCAAAATATTTTGCTTACTGGAAATATTAATCTTAAGCTTGAAATTAAAACTAAAATAAAAGCTTCAAGAAAGATTTTAAAAAATTAATTTTAATCCTTAGCTATCACATTTTTGTGAAGGTCCCTAGTTTAACACAATATAAAGTAGTGAGATAGGAAAATTGTGTTTGTGCCAAATAAGAGATTAAAACCCCATTTTTTATTTATTTATTTTTTTTTTCAAATCCAACATTCAAAATTACCACTGCTGCTATTATTTCAAGCATCAAATCAAGAAAAAATAAATATATAAATATAAATAACCGATGCCTAAGTAATGAGGAAAGCTGATTTGTATATTTGTGATTTGGATTTTTTTGTTTTTTTAATTATTATCCTTTTCTTTTCAATGTTTTCTGTTTTGAGTGTAGATAAAAATCAAGATAAAATGTGAATTTTCAAAAATTGTTTCTCATTTAACTGGTGCAAAACAATTTTACCACTCCCTTTCTCATTTCATTTGGTGTGGGGTGGGGGTATGCTAAACCAAACCCTGCTTATAAAATGGATGTGTGTGTGTGCATACTACACACAATTACTCAGAAAAAGACAGTCATTTTGCAGACACCAATTGTGTCTAAGAAGAAAAAAAAAAGTATAAACTGGGCAAAAATCAAATGACCCAAATTTTTGCTTAGATAAAAAAAGAAGACAACATTTCTAGTTGTATAACCAGTTTGAATTATTTTTATATTTCAGAAACGTTTGTTTTAATATGATGTGAAAAAAAAAAAAAAGAAAATAAAACTCTTATAAAAATCATTGCTTTGATAGATGTAAAAATAACGTCTTTGTTAAATCACTTTTATAAATCTGGAAGGATATTAAATGTTAAGAAAGAAAAATATTACTAATTTTTATATATAAAAATATTAATTGGCAATCAATTTAGGAATTCTTCCTTTCCATTGGTACCATGTAAACTAGTACCATCTGCCACCTGATAGTTGGTGAGGAAATAGGTAACACTTTCTCCTTCATAATTGAATTTCCTCATATTCCTATTTTGGTGGGCTAAACAGCAATTAAAACAGGAATATAATCTACATTGTCCCTTGGTATCATGGGGAGCTGGTTCAACGACCACCTCCAATGGATACCAAATCCTGCAGAGTTCCTTATATAAAAGTGTGTAGTACTTACAGAGAAGAATCATCACCTATATACTTTAGATAATCTCTAGATTACTTACAGTATTATAAGTAAATGATATGTAATTATGTAGTTATACTGTAGGTAATAACAAAAACTTTTGGTTTTTGGTAAGAAATTGTCACCTTAAAGAGATTAAAAAAAAAAACACTACCAAAAATCAACTAATAATTGAATTTTAATAAAATCTTGAGTCCTTATTTAGTAAAGTATGAAATGATTTCTAAAATGGCACATATCTGTTGGAAACAAATAAGACACATGGCAAATAAGTGCTAGAAAGAGGCTAAAGATCTGGGAAATGGCTAGTACAGTCCTCAGTACATTCTGGAGTTTTTTTTCCAAATATTTTCTAATTTATGGATGTCAAAAGCTAATTCTAAAATGACAATAGTTTTAAATGATACTGTTTATGCCAATTCTTCAAATTTCTTCATGTTAAAAAGCGTAAAATAAAAATCTAAGAAATTTTTTACTTATGGCGGATACAGACATAAGAATAAATGTGTATATTTATTTATATTTTTTTTAAACTGTCTATACAATAGACAATATATATGTTGGAAGATATCCAAATTGAATACAGACTCAGAAAAAAATATATAAATAAAAAAATTTAAATTTTAGCAAAAGAAATGTAAGTTTTGAATCATAAATTCAAATGAAAATTAAAAGAAAATCCTTATCTCATATAAAATAAAATGAATCTTTTTTTTCTAATAATTCATAAAAGGTGTTGAAAAGCTCTAGGGCTAAAAAAACAAAGTCATTTATTTTGGTCAGATTCTGAGAAGTGGGTCTGACTGAACTTTTCAGTAAACAACCCTTCATAATTCTGAAGAGAATCAATATCAAGTAAAAATATTGTTTTATTAATTTGAAGAAGTGATGTCTAAATTATCTATTTCTTACCCAGAAATTTGTAAGAATAGAAATAATAGTTTCTTTTCATCACCACATGGGCTTGGCTTTGTAGGTAGATACAGGAAATTTGGTTCT